TCAATCGTGTCCAATATGTTTTCTGCCGGCGTTGCTTAATTCTCAAATTGAGCAAATAAACATTTAAGAAGGCCCGAATTTCAAAAAAAATTCAAAATCTGCTCATCTCATTTTCATCGAAATTTGAGGGTCCGGACCTCGGCCGTGTGGTCCATATTCCCGCCTCTATTCCTTGTTCATGGTTTTAGTTAAAACCAATAATAATAACCAACTAAAAGTTTATCAATTAACGAGAGAATGAGCACCATAATATTGTTTGAGTTTAGAATGTTTTCCGGCTTCCTCTCTCTTTGTTCACATCCTGAACATTACTTAAATAGAGGTGAGCGTGTGGCATTGATAACGGTCGATTATTATTGCTTCCGGTCGGAGATTTGATTGAAGATATTTAAATATTTCCTTGCGGTTGCTGTTTGATTGACCTGATATTGCCTTCTGACTCACTCACAAAATCTAAACAGAAGGGCAATTATAAAATTAATCTTACTTACTTAGTCACTTAGTCGGTTCTTCCTTCGCCTGTTGAGGCGCGAACCACAGCTTTCCAAGCTTAAAGCAAATAAATTCAAATTTGCTGAATCGTTTTCAAACTTAAACGTTAAATTCCCAATATTTCGAAACTTGATCAGTCTTCATTCATCTAGACATTGCAACTGGGAAACCGACAAAAATTGATGGAAACTGGATGAAAAATGGTTGAGACTATAGAAATATCTATTTTCATGCTCTTTTAATAATTTTTTGCCCCTTTCCTAGTTGCATCGAGACCATGAAGATATGTTTTGAACCACAACAGTCCACCGATGATGCTTATTCAATTATTATTGTTCCACAAAATTTTGAACGATACACCTCAACTCTTATATTTTTGCAACGTCTTTCGAATATAATCGCTTCAAGTGTTTCTAACCAAATAGAAATAATTAAAAACGAGCGTCTTGCATAATTATGGACCTTTCGAGGCGATAATTCAAATTCGAATTTAAACTGTTGGAATTCGGCTACCGTACTCTAGATAACCTGCGAATCAAGCTCACCGTAAATCGCGGGTGCCCGCTTTTTTCGATTTTAGTATGATATCCGAAAATATTTAAATATCGAACCCCTATACAGTCGGCGTCCGGTGACTGCTGTAGATTTACACGCATGCGCCTTGAAAAGGTCTCGCCACGTGTTAACACTTCTGTTGCTGTTTTCAAATGAACGATTTATTTTTTCTTGATGAATTTGGCATTTCGTGGAATTTCTAAAGTCGTTTGATTCAAATAATTATCGAATCCACCTATAAAATGCGAAATAACCAGTTAGTCCGCTCGAGACCAAGAGAAAGACGCATTCGCGTAAATCTACCCGCGTACAGTAGTCGGCGGACGCCAACTATAAGTGTATGGAATCATTGAAAACCCCTTTTCGTTTGCCTCTGTCTTCAAAATTAACTATAATAATTTCATTGCTATACTATGCACATATAGTAAACGACCAATGACTGTTGTACGTGGGTAGATTTACGGACGTCTTTCGCTATGGTCTCGCCACATTTGAATGCTTATCTTGAATTTTTTCACGTGTTTCAAAAATTTTAAACTATCATTTCTTCGAAATTCTGACGTCATAACTTTTGAGAATTGAAAAAATGACGTCTAGATTGCAAAAAAAAACAGTGAGACGAGAAGGAAATTCATGTGACTTCTGATGTACGCCGGAAGCTGACTCGTGGGTATTTTGATACCTTTTGATATACACATTTTGCAGTTGGCTTCACCCTTGTTTGTAGACAAATTCGAATAAAACGATAAAAAGAAACAATTTGAACCAAATATCAGCACGCAAATGCCTTTTGGAATAAAATGACGAATGCCTTCAAAAAAGTGGCAATCAGTGAGAAAAAAACGGCGTCGTTTCTCGCTCAGAATTTTCGTGTCTTTTTTTCTAAAAATAATCAATGAAACGACCCCCCAATTTCCCTAAAATTCTTTCTTAAAATGTTTGTTATCATTCAAATGAATATTTATTACCATTCCCGACGCCACCTCGATTTGTCTCACCTTGCCAAATGATGATGTTCATAAATCAACACATTTGGATCATATCTGATTTGCGCCACAATCTACAGTATCGAGATGTTCTTTCGATTGCGTAACATCCTTTTTTTGGAAAAAAAAACAAAGATAACAAATATTTAAAAATAATATTTTGCTTTCACAATTGATTCAAGCAGCAAATAATTTACGGTTGTTTCATATTAAAGAATTTTTCTCATAACTATTCAGCTTCAGATTCATTGTGCGGTTCGAATGTGATAAGAAAAGTATAGGTATGGAAGATAAAGCCTAGGTAGTTTATAAGTAAGGCGTAAGACATTTGGGCGTCTGTCTTATTTTTTTTATGACTCCATTCTCTGCTACTTCAAAACCAAACAAATGCGAAAAAATTTGGCTCCAACCTTATCCGATTGGTAATTCTACGGAAAAGATTGTTAAATTGTTGGATCCGATTGGTAATTTTTTGGATTCGATGGAATATTTGTCGGATCGTTTTGTTTTAATTTTTCAATTCTAATCGGATTCGACAAATGACCAATCGGATCCGAAAATATCCAAAAAACCAATCGGATCCGACAATTTTCCAATTTTATCCGTAGAAGTTCTAATCGGATAAGGTTGATTCCGGATCCGAATGGTTTTGTGTTACCAGTCTTCCGACTAAAATATTCAAGAATTGTAGAATTCGAACAGAGCCATGAAAATATGTAGATATAGAGCATATTGCTGATTAAAAGGATCCAAATAAAGTCAAAACACCTTCTAGTTTTGATTTTTCTTTAGTATTGTTATTTTGAAGCCGCCTGGGTGAATTCACATTAAACAATAATTGATTTGAGAATTTTTTTGAATTGCATGTTGTTGAATAGTTTGGATATCGTAAAGTTTCAATATTTGATCAAAAATGATAATTTCGGCTTAATCTACCGAATATTAAAAATATGCCTTCGGCCTGGTTCGAACCTTTCTTATAACAGATTATTTTTTTCTAATTGCTCAAAATATTCAAACGTCATTCCCCACGTTACACCACCATTCAAATATGGCCAAAATCACGAATTGGTTGAAGAAGACCGAAAACGAATTCAGTAGTTGGTGGTGGTCGGCGAATTTCAAAGGGTGTTCCCGAATCGAACCGCGCAGTTCTTCATCCTCCCCTCCTCGTCATACGGTACCTGTCTTCTCTTCTTCTCGAGAGTTCGCCATCTCCTCCCGCTTTATGTATGTATGTGTGTGAGTGTGTGCATTTTGTGATGAATTGGTGTTGCAAAAGAAGACAACTCCAAGTGGTCCCGAAATCTCGGACCCCGTACGCCACCACTCGGCGCCCCTCCCCGGCAGCCTTTCATCTTTGCCGCCTCGGCCGCGCGTCTCTCCGTGATTCGCGCGATATTTTCACGCCAGATTAGAACTGCTTCGCATGACGATAGGCTTCTGAAGATATTCGAACATGAATACATATTTATTCATGGAACACTTTCAAATTGATGGCCCTTCCCCAAATACGTTCGCTCATTTCTTTTTCAGTGGTTTTGAGCAAAAAGCATCCATTCGAAAAAATTTCAGACAATTTATATTTTCATAATTTCGACGATTCTGATCCAATCTGATTCTAAATTCTGCTAAATTATTTCTTTAAAAATAATTAATACAAGAAATAAAATTTTGGAAAAAGAGATTTATCAATTTCTAATAAGATTTTGCATTAAATATTGGGTAAAATTCTAAACAAAAAGGTTCCGCTTTGTCGAAAATCTGCGCAGAACAGATTTTTCACATATTTTCAGCCAATTTCTCAAAATTGTATGCCTCATTTTATTTGAAACTTTGAAGGCATCGTTGGGCAATTTCTAGTCGAATTTTTTCAAATTCATTAAAATTTTAAATAATATTAATGAAACAATGCAAATTTCGAAAATTCATTTCAAGCATCCTTGCATTTTTTTTCAAAAAAATATATTCAGAAATTTTTTGACGTTTTACCGTAAATTGAATTCGAGCAATTTTTACTTTATTTCAAAATTTAAAAAAATTAGTAAATCGAAAAAAAAGAAACAACCTCTTTAAATAGTCTTCAAAATCCATGAATTTTATTTCATTTTCTAGATTAACATCAATATATTTAATAAAATTATACTTGAGACAAATAAAAAAAGCATATATACCATATAGTTCTTTATAAGGCAATTCACTTTTTTAAAATTCAAAGAATCAAAGAACTTACTGTTTTTTAGTATTCCATTATTCAATTTTTTACAAAAAAAAAAACTTACAAAATCTCGTTTTTGTTTGAAAAAATTTACTATCGAAATAAATTATTTTCTAAAGTATCTTATTTTCATAAAATGGTTATTTCTAAATAAAAGATTCAAGAAAACCATTGGAAAGCTCGTGAAACTATTCAATTCAATTCTTCCGGCTACCGCACTACGGATAACCTGCGAATCAAACTCACCGTAAATCGCCACATGGGTTTGAATATTTTCAATTTTCGTTTGAAACCATAATTTAAGAGGGCGGTGAAAAGTGGCTGACGACAATATTCGATAGATGCCATCAATCACAAATCAAATCCGTGTTCCGAAAACAATGAATTGTATCATCACAATCGTCATCATCATCATCTTCATCATCCTTCTCTCGTTCTCAATTTTTTTTTGGCGTATTGCCCCATTCCAACATTTTTTCCCTCGTTTTGCCGCCGTCTAAATCACGCGTCTCTCTTCATTCCACACTCTCTAGTGTTTCGTATTTCTCTCTCAACCCTCTTCACCTCGTCGCACTTTCTCCGCCCAGTCGGCGACCAATCAGCGATGGCCGATGGGCGGGGCTTCAGTAGAGGGGGGGGGGCTGGTGGTTGGAAAAAGCGAAGAGAAGTGGTTGCAGGCCAGGCTTTCGCGAGGGCGGTACAACAACAAAACAACGAGCGTGTGCGGTTTGTTGAAAATCAAGCACGAAATGACCACCTCGTCATCATCTTCATCATCCTCATCCTCATCAGCTTCATCGTCGTCAGCCGCATCGTCATCGGTGGCAGCGGCGGCGTCGGTGGCGTCGGATCTCGCAGCGAGTTCAACAACAACGACGACGACGTCGGCTCCAGATTTTGGCGCAGATCCGAGTGCGGCGCTGGCTGCGGCCGCAGCATTCAGCAGCGCCGGATACTACGACACGTCGAGTCCGTCGCAGATCGCTTCCTACTTCGCCGCGCATCATAATCCCGGCGGCTATCCGGGCGTGCCGGGCATTCCCGATCAGGTACGTCGTCTCTATCGTTTCGCAAAAACCATTTGCCAAAAATGTGCGGCCATTTCGTTTACCCTCATCCGAATATCAATCAATTCCGGTGTGCGTTCGATCATTTTAACGACGGACCATTTAGCATTTCGCTCGGCGGGACGAGTCGACATGATAAATTTCCAGCAATTGTCGACTGCCGCCGTCGTCGAAATGTCGAAATGCCTCAATTTATTGATATACATTTCAACGATTTATACATTGTTTAATTAGCAATTTATTCTCTTTCATTAATTTATGATGATTAATGAGTTGTGAGAAGTTTGGGAAATTTTTGAATCAATCAAGACAATCATTATGAGGTTAGGATTTTTAAGATGAAAATAGTTTGAAAATATTGATGCCATAATTGCTAAGCTTATAAAATATGATGAAATTTTCGATCCAAGCAAAGCCAAAAAATGTGTGTCGTCGAACAGAAACAAGAACCAACCGGTTCGCATTTCTTATTTTTTTCGCATTGTTTTCGACGCCACCTAATAAATTAAAACGAAACACGAAACAAAAAAATGTTGCAAAAATAGTCAAGTCGGAATGATTGGAAAGAAGCGAAACAAGACGAAGAGATGGCAGAGTATCCCGGCGCGGTTTCAAGATTAATTGCCCCCGGCTGTGCCGAGAAAATGTTCGAAATTAGAAAGCGAACAATGAGACTTCATTTTATTATTTTTCTCGAGAAATTTATTCGTCAAATTGAATGCCATTTTTTATTTGAGGTCGGTTTTATCAACTATTATCTGATGCTATATAATTATTATTTTGAGCACAGCTGATCGATGCTTTTATATATTTCGACGATTTTTTTCTTAAATAAGCTCCAATATTCGTATTTTTCTTAATAAAATAATCGGTTTGACGATTGCTTTTTTTTAATCCAAAAATTCCGATCGATTTCAATTTCGTCAATTCATTGTTTCGATTCCGAAGTTGGTTTAAAAACCGATTTTATCCATTATATTCAGATTTGAAGCTTAAAGAGATTCATCGAATGAAACTTCAAGATTATTCATTTTCATAATATTTTTAAACAATTAAAAATAATTTATTTAGCAATCTAAATTAGTGGAAACGAAAAAAAATAAACATTTAATAAATTATATTTTATTTCCTTATGAAATTTAATTCAATTCTATATCTGCAATTGAAGCATTACAGTTTTTTCTTAAATCTCTATTTTAATATCATAATATAAGGAATATAATAAAAGCTTTGAGACCCAATATAATAGCTTTAATTGAACTAATAATGATTTAAACAGTTAAAAAAATGTTGAATTCTTCTTTTAATAAAACACAAATAAGGGGAGAAATTTTGAATATTCAAAAGTGGCGCGCGAAAAAAGAAAGAAGTTATTGTTTCATCCGAAGTGGCTGACGCCTACAGTATGATCGCATCTGTCGGGTTGTCGTCTTCAATAAGAGGAGATGGTTATCGAGAAATGGACGCCACGCGATGAACACCCGCTGAATATTCACGTGTATGAAGGAAATGTTGAAAATTTGCAGAGTATGTGCTACGGTCAAGAATGGGCCGACGATGAGAAGGACGAGAAGAAGGACGAGGATCTCGACAAGAATTCCAATGCGGCCGTCTATCCATGGATGACGCGAGTGCATTCAACAACAGGTCGGTTGTCGTTTCGAGACCCGTATTGATAATCAGCGAGCCATTTGTGGCGTCGAAAATAAGATTGCAATTTGACGGGGGGAGCTATGGTAATATTTCATGTGCGGGTGGACGCTTTTGCATTTCATAAATCATTGCCAAAGACGCGCGTTTCCCTCTCCATCGTGTCGCTTTTCCATCTACCAAATGTTGCGATTTTCTGGGTTTTTCAATCCACCGCCACCAATTTTGGATAAGGTCCTCGCAATGAGAATAGGTATGAGAAGAATGGACGGTGCTACCAGAAATGGAAACGGAAGACTGATCAGAAAATTTGTTGTACTCGGCTTTCAATTTTCAAAAATTTAGATATTTTCTAAAATCCTCAATATTGTTGTAGTGATTTTCTGGAAAATTCAGAATCTCGTTTTAAAATGTCTTTTAATTGGATATTTAATTGAATTGCAGACAATAGTGTCGTCGAAAATAATCATAGCAATTAATTTTCATCAAAATCGGGGCCAATCAAATTTATCACCGAATCGACGGTGCCGTTTCGTCTGTCGCGACGAGACGTCGCATTTTCCCACAATCCATTACATTTTTCATCTCATTTTTCATCGCTCAATATCGTTTTGTTTCTCTCCGCCACTTCTTTTTTCTCTTGTTATTCCTTTTTGCCTTGTTTCCCGCTCCGTCCGCCCGTCCATCCGTCGGTCCGTATGTCGCTTGTCTCAACTTGAATGCGGGCACCAGCGGCCAACAACAGCCAGCACACACACACACACACACATACAAAAAACACACATCGAAATAGACACGATGCAACGGAAGAAGACGTCGATCGGCTGGGTCTTGACACGAAAGATAAATGGGCTCGCGACATGCCATCCGCGGCCACGCGCGCCCTCAACCTCGCGCCCTCCTTTTTCGGCGACGACCCGCTCGCGCCTCTGTATACTGTAAGGGAGGTCTACGATTGTCATCCAGCAAAATTATTACCATCGCAAATAAATAACGAGAACCATGAGTTGTTGGGGCTCATTGAAATTTTTCGAGGCAGCAATTTCAATTTCGATTTCAACAGTGGGAATCCAGCGAATCAAACTCAAATCTGCGCAGACTGCCCGTTTTTTTCGCGATTGTATTCACTACCACTATCAGTTTTTTATCGCTGTGGAGCAACTGAAAATAATATGCTTTCCTTTTATAGAAAATTGCTCAACTTTTCTCACCTTCATACAATTTCTTTGAAGAATATCTGCACGCGTATTTGACTGCTCGCGATGAATCAAAGTATCAAAGTCGTAGTGCATCCAACTAACCATGTACCTCATTCATTTTTCGGCGGGCGACACACGTGTGTCAAATCGAGTCGTCAATAATCGCGAAAGATAACAATTTTCAAGATGAAAGGTGTTTGCCGCCTCCATGAGCGAATGCGGGATACGGTAGATTGGTGAATAGGTGTGACAATGATGAATCGGCAAGATTCGAATTGAAATAAGACAAATTTTTGATTATAAATGACGAATCGCACCTTCAAAACTTTTTCGAATTTCCGGTCGTTGCTCAAAAGCGCAAAGTAACAATGAATAAGCTATCTTATGGCAAAAAAATCGATAAAGCATCAATTCCAGCCATTTCTGAAAAATTAAGAATACCATAATCCGTAAACATGTCGCCATTGTCGTCAAATAAAATGCATACATCTAATGCAGACGATACGCGATAATTGACGACAATCCAAAATTATTTTTCCTTTTTCTCCTAATATTATTTTTAAATTTATTCTCGATGGTTTACAATTTGATTATTTCATATTTAATTCAAATAATTATTTCATAATTTAAAAAATGGTGTTGAATCGATCATTATTTTTTATAATTCCGGATAAAATTTAGGATGAAACCATAATTTCCATTTTTTCTAACATTAAATATTCATTTGGTGTGAATTGATATGACCTTCGAGTTTCCTTCATTCTAACCTTCTCCGCACATTCTCATCATCGTCATCATTACACTCCCGTCCGCTCACCAGCCGATTGTCAAAGTATTTTGGCAGAACTGTCAGGTGCGCGCGGCCAACTCTTTTGCTTTTTCGCCGAAACACCGACGGGTGATTGATAAGCGTCCAATAACAAATTATCGAAATAATGAGAGCCACGAGGCGACCTAATAACGAGGGATTCAGAATTGCATTATTGAAGAAAAAAAATGTATCCACGAGCTGCTTATTAGCTTCTCACGCATGTCTCAAAAAGAATGACAAGCTGTCCTCCAGGTGTCTTTCATCCTCATTTTCGCCAATTGAAATCCGTGCCCAACGTTGCGCCCTCACTCGTTCCCATGTGAAAACACACACACAGCGAACCATATGTTCCAATTTTGAAACGAAACATTATCTGTCACCTCGTCAATTTTCGAGTGTCGGGATTTATAAGGGGCCGACGAGTCGAAAAATTGAATTTGAGTTGATGCAAATAAACTACAGCAAAAACTTTTCAATCAGCAATTTTTTATACTCTGGTAACTCAAAACCAATCGGATTCGACAATATTCGGCTCTGGAATTAAACTTATCCGATTGATATTTCTACGAATAAGATTGGAAAATTGTCGAATCCGATTCGTTTTTTGGGTATTTTCGAATTCGATTGGTAATTCTACGGATAAGATTGGTTATTTTTCGAATCCGATACGAAATAAAATATTAAAACAAAACGGATTCGAATATTACCAGAGTATTAGCATTTTTATCATGTCATCTCTGTTTAAAAAGAAAAAGCGAGAAATTGATTTCCAATGAGCTCTAAATTTAAAACGGTTGTGTATTATCGTCGTATTGTAAATCAAATCGAGGCTCAATTTTTTTTCGCTGCGCGTGTCGCTTTCTAATCCTTACAATTCGAAACAGTTGCGATGAATTATCGAAAAATTGACACCCGTCGGTCATAATTCATTGTCGTCGCGGCGTTTACAATTCCCAAGTTGTATATTATAAACGTTTTGAGAGGACGTAGGGCACAAGTGTGAAAATACGGGGGAAGGCGGATGAGCCCCGGCGCGATGTTGATTTACGAGCGATTCCCGAATTGATCGCTATCGCCATCTTCGTTGGAGTGGAGTGAGGGGATCGTAGATTGACAAAAGCCGATTATTAATATTACCCTAATCTCCGCATTCGAGGGTCCGAGAATGAATTCGGTTCAAGCGGATTTCTTGCAGTCGGCCCTCGCGGCGAAAAACGACAAAGAACGGCGTACACGCGGAATCAGGTGCTCGAGCTCGAAAAGGAATTTCACACTCACAAGTACTTAACAAGGAAAAGGCGCATTGAAGTCGCACACAGTCTGATGCTCACCGAGAGACAGGTAATTGTTGATGGCTTTAATGGAATTGGAAACATTTTGTGAATTTCAGGTCAAAATTTGGTTCCAAAATCGCCGAATGAAGCACAAAAAAGAGAATAAGGTTAGTCGACCCCTCTCTGTTTTGTTTCGAAATTGTGCTCGAATTGTGGCACCTGTTGCAAACTGCAACCGCATAATTAATGGCTATTCTCTCCCGCATTTTGCTCTACACAATTTCGGTTGTGTTCTGCATTGGCACGCTGCGCACGTCGTGCCAAGACGATTATACGGTGATAAATTGCAACATGTGCGCTTGAGACAACGGTTTTGTGGGCCTATTCGCTGACAGCGCGATTAATTCTCACAACCCGACCGACCGACCGCAATTTATAATGTTTTGAATGACTTAACCTCCCAATGTGACCTGACAAGCGAACAGCATACAAGCATGCGGCGAAAAAAAAACAAATGCAACAAGACGCAACAGCGCGCTCAGACAGCAGCGAGCGGGTCTACGCCCTCGTACACATGATTGCACGTGCAGTCATGTCCGAGTGGTTAAGGAGATTGACTCGAAATCAATTGGGCTCTGCCCGCGTAGGTTCGAATCCTGCTGACTGCGAATGCTTTTTTGCTGTCAAGTTTTTGAAAAAGCAATATTCGAAATTACCGCAACGAAACTGAGTCTAAAGTGAATGCGCCTCCATAGTTCATCTTAAATATTCATTTTAATATTCCGACTGTACCCCAAAAAACCAGTACAACTTGTTTCAATTATATTTCACGTTATATTGCGTGTGTTGATCGAACCACGGACATCTAGCGGCTTCCATTAGTATTTGGTATATTTGAGACCGTTTAACAGAAAACAAATCGTTTGTGTCGCGTGCGGACACGTGAATTAAAATGTTTTGCAATGTTTAGTGCTCAATAGAAGCAACATTTAGTTCCTGTCCAATTTGTCGCAGTCGAGTGATTTTGATGATAGTCGATAGATTTGAATTTTACGAGAAATTTAAACAATCACACGATTGCATAAAAAATCACTGTTCAAAACGTTAATAATTTTGAATTTCAGGATAAACCAATGACTCCTCCAATGATGACATTCGGAAGCAATATTCCATTCGCTCCATTCCGTTTTCCATTGTTCAATCAATTCTAGCAAATTTTCACAGATTTTCTCTCATTCTCCATTTTTGTGTGCTCTTTTGTGATGCTTTAGCCAATTTTTTTCTTCACCTGCACCCGCTTTCCCCCACTCTCAAAATTCAGCTTTATTATTTCAATTGTTTCTTTATTGTTCTTCCCAAACTCACAGGGTTTGCAAATCATTCGTATCTCCCCCCACCCACTCCAATTTACTTCTATTCTCCCGAAATGGCAAGAAATTTCAATGGATTTTTCATCGAAAACAGAGTAAAAAATTGAAAAGACAAGGTAGAACTATCATTCGATTGTTTGTGATTCGCATTGTTTCTTGGCATGAATATACAATTTCATGTTTTCATTCTTTCCCTCGGTTTTGAGTGTTCTAGTTTCGAATTCAATAACAAAATAACATATTCATGTATTATAATAATTTGTATTTTCTATAATTTTATTTTTTAAAAATAATAAAATCATCTTTTTCACGAAATGTTCAAAACAGTAGTTTCAGAGTTTGAAGAATTACAATCAATTCTAATGGACCGAAAAAATGAAATACAGAAAATTTAAATCATTAAATTAATTTTTTTTTTAATTTCTGCGCTGAGAAATATATTACCATCGCACTTTTTCGAGCCGCAAAGTCAAATTTGAATTTAAATAGTTGGAATTTGGTTAGTGAATTTTTTTTAAGAATATTTTATTGCATGATCGATTTAAATTTCAGAATTTGAAGTTAAAATAGTATTTGAGGTGTCAAAAGATTCAACGAAATTAAAAAAAATGATTGGCGATGTGCCAATGCGTGTAGCGAGTAGTACGCAACACTGCGTACATTGCATTATAGCGTACGCGCATTTAATATTCAGTCAACGAACAATTATTTTTTTCCAACTGAAATGATTGAACAAATAATTTTTCGCAAAAATGATCATTTTTTGAACTTCAACATTAATTTTTTTGCTTTTAATAAATTCCAATATGCCTTCTAAACGGCAATACGCCGGAGTTGAACCCTTCAGAATAGAAGTCTCAATAGAGCACATTTGCACAGTTTTCAGTGGGTGTCCTCGAAGAAATATTCGAGAATTTTTTGCAAGAGGGATTTTCTTCGAAAGAGAATTCCGAAGAGATGATTAAAAAAAGATTGTCAGAAATTGAAATGACGCAAGCGCGCTCTATTGAGAAGAGAAAGAAAATTACGGCCGAGTTCATTTTCGGCGATTTCAACAACAGGGCTACCAACTTTCTAACATCGAATTTCTCTGATTGATTTGAAACGAAGAAGAAGTTCACCGATATTCTAGTAAAAAAAAAGGTCCTACCAGTTTCAAACGAGTTCGAAAACTAAAGAAAATATTGGCTATGTGCCAAGTAGTTTCAGAGTGAAGAGAACTGCGAATTTGGTAGTTTGCATTTTAGCATACGCCTATAAAATGTTTAGTCAGCCCGTACTAATCCTTATCGTGAAATCTACTAATGCGCCTTTAATATCTACTGTAATTTTCAGAATAGATCAAATCGAAAATGATTATAAGTTCATGGCGCAAAGAATTTGAATAATAAACAACGCCGCCCTGAATATCTTCCTCTTCGACAAATAAATTCGTATAAGATCAACACTAATTTTGTGAATTTGAATTTCCCGCCACCGATCTGTCATTTGAATATACGCAAATGAAATTTTGACTTGAAATTTTTTTTTCTAAGTTTGAATTAATTTTTTTTCACATCGATGAATAGTTAAAATTTTGTGGAAATATGCGAAAATGCTCCGGATTGCATAAAATCTCTGTCTTTCGTTTTCTCTCAGGATTAACTCATTTTAAATGGCGATTGAATGATTGGAAATGAAATGTGTGCAAGATTGCGTCTTCGTGTAGACACATAAAATCGGACCCGCCGGTTTTCTTCTTCGATGTAAACCTTTTTTGTGTTACGAAGTAAATTATACTGAAAATCCTACATATAAATGCATTGGAAATTATAGGAATTAGAAAAAAAATGCTGAAACCGACTTATATTACTTGCCTACATTCTAGTACCCAAGAAGCTTGTTTTTTGCACTATCATTTTTAATACGATTGATTGAAATTCTTAAAAATGGCTATACGAATTTAAATTTTCCACAAAAATTGAAGTTTCTTCCATGCGCCTTTAACAATACCCAAAAAATACGAAACATATAAGCCTGAATTTTCTATTTTAACTAAATTAAAATTGTCATTTCTCTGTCGAATTTCATACGAATTTAATGCAAAATTGTTCGATTTTGGGTGTGAGAGTGTAAAAATATTGAAGAGAATCGTCTCTCATTGGCTTCGACTGATTTCATTCGTCTTAGGCGGCTCGTGCTTAGGCAACCAATTAGTCATACTCAGCGTCAACAATTGTCTACAATAAATTCAATGGAGAACAACAGTAAAACAATTAATTAGTGCCACATTGAGCACTTTAATCTCGCCGGTTTATTGCATTCGCGCGACATCTGCGAGGGGCGTGGCCGCCTCGTCTACTGTCATCAGGACGAGCCAATCAGCGATAAGCAAACTGGAAGAGATCATAGAAGAGAGTGCGGAAAATCAAGAGGCGATTGTAATTGTCAAAATTCGAACAATTATTCGAATCTGTCGGGAATCAGACTCGTGTTTAACTCGAGAAGTTGAACGTCGATTTATTTAATATTTTACTTTTTTTTGGTTTTGAAGGCAATCATTTCACTTTGCATAAAACTTAACGTTCTAATCATAAAAAAACCAAATTCGGAAATGATTTTTTAAGATTAGAATGGAAATTGCAAAAAAACCAATTGTCAGAGACAAACGACTTGAGGAAATGAAAAAAAATATTGGCTGCGTATCGAGGCAGCGAGATTGCGTACATTGCATTATAACGTACGCGCATTTAATATTCAGTCAACTACTTTAATTCAAATCTACACTGATTTCGCGAAATTGACGGTCCCGCTCCCCATTCAGCCGTTTCCGACAGTAGATCATTAGAAAAGGTCAAGTTTTGATGCTCGTTTGTTTCTGTCAGATTTCTGCGACATTTTTGTGTTCACAAAAAGTGACAAGTAGGGCAATTCAAGCAAATCTATCAAACTTGGTTGACTCGAGTTCTGTTCGAAGTCACCTTGTGCAGATTTATTGCCGTGCCGTTCATTCGTCTCAGCTTTCGCCATATTTCTTTGTCTTGTCCGAATTGCACTTGCGCGTGCGCGTGGGGGGATTAACAAGTTGTAAATCTTGACAGCTGATCGATTCTTTTGGCGTTGATCAATTTTTAAGAATCAAAAGATTACAATAACATTGGAGAATTCATTTGAAACCCTTTCTTCAATTTCTGAGAATTATGGGAAGTAATGAAAATGCATTTTTATTCGCTAATATTGTTGTAGAAATGATAGAAAAATTCTCGAGAAACTACTATTAACTGAATGGAAAAATTATATAATTGATTTAAGGAGAAATAATCACATTCTCAATAAAAAAGCACAGTCACTGAAATTTAATATTGATGAGTGGCATTGCTCAAAAATTAAATTTTGTATTTGTCTTGTCTAAAATGTGATGCATATTATAACAAAGCGATGAAATGAACAATTTAAATTCGAAATTTCATAATTAAAAAAGAAATTGTGGCATTTTTTGAAAATAATTTAGATCACATAATTACGAGAAACCAATCAAATGAACAGTCAAAGATTTTGATGTGTTAAGGAAAATATGAATGGAAAATAATAGGAATTGTGAATATTTCAATGAATTCATAAGGATTAGGTTATTTTATTTTCTAAAATTCATTACAAAAAATGGAAATTGTTATTATTCGAGCAGGAAATTTCACACCCTATTTGCCATATTCTTACTTTTTTTCTGGAGAAAACGATTATTAGCATTATAAAATTGTATTTTAAATCATTCTACGAAATGTCGTAATAGAGGGAAAACATACGTCTTTTTTTTAAAGATTCTCTTTGCTTCGAAATAATTAAATATCAAAAATTATAAGAATTGCCATTGGTTAAAATTTCCAAAATTGTTAGTTTAATTTCAGGAAGAACCGAACGCTGTTGACGACGATTAAAATAAGAACCCTCAATAGACGCCATATTTGTCGTCGTTGTTCCTCAGTACTCGCTACCGTAATCTCAGATCGGCGACAAAACGTGTCACACGGCCGACTGGTGGGCGGGCTGTCTTAAAATTGATCGTTTTTCCATCTTCACCTTCTTCCTCTGTGTCCCCAGTGTCGCCTGTGGTGTATTTCAAAATGTCGCGAGCGGATAGTGTGCATTACGCGATGAGACGCAGCAATGTTTGGCACAAAACATCTTCAATTCACTGACGATAGACAAACGCATAACTAATCGGGGGACCCAATAATCTACCGTAATCGACCTCATGAATAATCAACATTCGTCATCTTTACGAGTTCGTAATACAATCATATTAATCACAACTAATACAAATTGCATCTAGCGCCTGATTTTATCCATCATAATAAAGATAACACGAGATTTATGATTCAGGTTCGGAATGAAGGTGATAGTTTGTCTTAGACAGGGTAATTTTGCGAATATGTTCAGGTTAGTGTGTGAAATTGTACAGCGAATGGTTAGGGGGGGGGGTCATATTATAACAAATTTATACATAATTATTGGATTTTGAAAGCGCCTTCAACTTCATGCATTACTTCAGTGTTTTTCCTGAAATATAATTCTTGTTTAACCAAATCTCGGCTTTTTTTTTCAATTGTAGAGTTAAATTGAAAGAATTTATATTATAATGTTATTTACTGAAAATGATATCTGCATAGATTGCCCTCCTACTGGATTTCCAAATTCCGTATAAAAATTGCTATTTTCTGAATGAAAATTTACATCTGAATTGTCGTCGGCTCGTAAATAAAGCAGTGTAGATTTAAATTGCGCTTACTTTTTAAGAAATTCTCATGGTCATCGTAAAATAAAAAAAATGAGAAGAAGACGAGATTAATTGTGATTTAAACTTTGGGAATTTGTGAACCGTACTATTTGATTGAAAACCTGAACTGTATTGTTAAAAAAATATTCAAGATTAAATATTTAATGGGACTATTCATGGAATGAAAAAAACTAAAAAAAAAATCAATTTTTTTCATTTGAATTCCCTATGCACGCACGAGGAAAATTACAAAAAAATTGACGCGATATATCGTAATTCTCCGCTATTAGTTTCAAAGGCGCACGCGAAAAGTTGCGCTGGTCACGTCACGAAGTCGGTACTGTAATTTTTTTATTTTTTTAATTTGTCTGTCATTTTTCCGTATTTTCGAAAACTTTGAAGAGGAAATGAGTAACGAATTGAAGAGCGAGGAAAAAAAATATTGATATAAGTATTCTAAATTCGACAATATATGTCTAGTTTTTTCCATTTAGATATCAATTTTTATGAAAAATCGTGATATTTGTGTTGATTTGATGCAGACTTCATTCGATGACGCTTCTCATGAAAAAAAAAATTGACGTTGAGTAAACAAAGTACTTCTACATATTTCCAAAAAAAAGATTTCTTTTTGCGCGTACATTTACACCTTCGTAGATCTGCAATCATTTTGGCGAAATTTGCGGCCACCGGTTTGTCATTTAAAACCGACAATAATATTTTATAAAATTAATTGTTTTATTTGACCGATTTCATTTTTGGTTTCAATTTTAAAATTTCGCCGTTTTTCAATCTACAATTTTTCTATTAAAACTACAACCCCTCGTCAATTTTTTCGTTGCGTTTCCCTTATTCTCAGCCTTCTCAGAATTCTATAAATCGTATATATTGAAATAAACCCACCATGGACTGACTTTTCCTTGTAATTTACATCTTTCGATCCAAGTTGAAGAAACCACCGAACACCTGGAACATTCGCGATTACGGACAGATAGCAAAAACGAACATGCAACTGAGAAAACAGGAAGAAAGAAACACAACACACGGAACATGAAACTCTTTGTGCAAAAAAGTGAAAATATGTAGAAGAAATATCGACAACGATTTGAGTTAGACAGCAAACAAAGGTGAAGCGTGCAAGGAGTGCGGCAACAAACGGCATACTTGGCGTTTTTGATAGCATATGCGGTCTTCGGATAATTTCGTTTCGACGATGTGGCAATTATCAACTGCGTTCTTTGGGCTGAAACAAAATTCGACTACAAAAATTAGACAGGTTAATATATTACTGAAGTTTTTGACGACAAACGCCCCAAAATAATGTAGTATATCTTCACATTTACGCCGAAGTGGTGCAGATGTTCCCTTAAAATCGAAAAAATAAACTTTGCTGAGGATCTCAAATAAAAATTTACCTGTAATACTGCAACTTCAATTCCGGTCAACGGCGAGTCTACTTTCAAACGCTTCATTTTAATTGGAATACCTGAAATAAAATTAAGAGAAAAAAAGAGACGAATTCAAATCCTTACGGCACGCAGCTTCTATAGCTTTTCTCGTAATTCGCCCGTTCATCATTGGGGTGGAAGTGCTAGGTTTTTCTTCAAATGTTTCATCACATTTTTCCTCATTGTCGCCTTCATCATCCAATTTACAATCGGAAATTTTCTGAAGCTTCTTCGTTCAACGAAACGAAATAAATCAAAAAATCGAACCGATTCATATTCGAGAAACTCATCAAATTTGTTCATTTGATATATACTTTTGTCAGTTCTCCAAATTTTCATCACAGGATCAATCAATTTTCCATTGCGAACTCCATTTGAGGTTATCGTAATCACCTTAATAAACACTCATTTCTGTTGAATTTCGATTAATTTTAAACCTGCCAATTCTCTGGATCAATATAACCTCCTTCATTCTCCGGAATTGGAGGTGGTTTAGTACCAAACCGGGTTTTCAGCACTTTAGGAGGGTTCGGTCTAAGAGGACCAACATAATCACGAATTTGCTCTCGGACTGCTTCTTGAAGTCCATACGATAGTGTCAAGCAGATTCTGAACTCTTCAACTGTAACCTTTTTAATTAGTTCAAAAATCTCCATTCGATATTTTCTTACAGCTTTCCATTGCTGCAAATTTGAAAAGTGGCCTGCCATATCGAGCCGCTCGCGGAAAAATCGCCACCAAAGCCAAATCGAGATCACAATCTTTCGAAGCCGATGGTTTCAGTTTAAACCAGCCATTTTTAGCATTTCTAGATTATTTTTTCACATTAATAGCTAATATTTAAACTTGCAAACCTTTCTCCTTTCAAATACTGACTATCGGCTCGTTTTACAACAATTCCTTCTTCATTATTTTCCATCGCTTTTTGAAAATAATTCATGACATCTTGTTTACAAGTGCCTTCAACATGCTCTGCTACTGATATTGTGTCCTTTGATTCCTTTTTCAGCGCAGCCATTTTTAGTAATTCAAGTCTGAATAGAAATCGAATATATCGAAATATAAATTACTCAAATTATTATAATTATTTTTACCTTTGTTTTAAAGGTGCCCCAAATAAATCTTCTCCGTTGTAATAAAGAATGTCGAATAATACAATTGCTGAAAAAATTAAGTTATTATTTTTTGAAAAAAAAACATACTTAATTGCTGATTATGGTCTGGTTTGACATGGCGGTATGAAAGAATAGATGAATCTGAAGTTGTGCTAGCATCATTATGACGGCCTAGAAAAATATTTTGAACAAAATTAGGCAAGCAAACGAAATACATAATCTTTTCAGGATTTTATCCCATAGCATTAATTCACAGTTGAAAATTGCAGTATCCAAATCGGGACGGAAATATTGATGAATTCGATTCGATAGTTTTCCAATATCAGTCGAACAATCGCCATAATCCTGCAATTTTACAATTAAAAAATTTTTTAATTACCAAAACCTTGGAGAAATCATTATTGTTCCTTGTAAACCAGCGATATTGATTCCCTTTCTTGTGGAGAAGAATATTTTCACCGTCATATTTGATTTGCATGATAAACCGAGGCATTGCGTGAGCTTCTATCTAAACAGACAAATAATTATTTAAAAAACAATCGGAATCAAAGTAATTACTTACGCTCGACCACCAGTCGTTTCTTTTCGGTTTATGAAGTAACATTGGCGTGAACATTTTGAACAAATAATCGTCTTGAATTTCAATTAAGAGTTATTTTAAACTTATTGAAAGAATACCCGGAACTTCTTTTTTCCCACTTTTCGCACGTTCTGGAAGCTGTACTTTTCCGCGCATAACTTCACTTAATGAAAGGGTTTGTGTCCAGATTGTGTACGCAAAAGGTGATATCCAATCAAATATTTTGTTTGCACTTGTTCCCAGTGAAGTCTTTAGTAATAAAATCTTTTTTATTAAAACATTTCGTTTTTACCTCAACATTTCTAGTCATTATGTTAAAAATCCACTCTAGTTCATCTTCCGAACAATTTTTGACCAGTTCTTGCATTTTCAGAAATTCTGTTAAAAATTAAGTCTTCCAGAATTCAGAGATCCATCAACAAACTCGAATTTTCCATCATAATGCTTCCAAATGCCAAAAAGTCGAGCGCGTCATTCACTTGTCCAACGGTCATCACGTTCTTCTTGCATTTATCATTTCGATAATCGTAGGCGACTTTCACAGCGAGTTTCCTTACAGTCTCAGAAGTACTTTTTCGGATTTCACACAGGTATGCTTCTTTGGAATCCGAAAATGCTCGAGCGAGAAAGCAAGCTAATTTGTGCTGAATTGTAAACAAATACCTTATGGGAATTAAAAAAAACGAAAAGCTAAATACCGTTCCCATATCAAATCTGCGAATTCTTTCATTTTCCGAAAATACAAGTCGTAATAGGGGAACCATATCTACATTATCATCACCTAAAAACTTAAAGAATTAGATAAATCAAGCTATCAATCATAACAGACAATCTTCTTTCCATCGTTCGAAGTCTTTTTTAAATATTGCGCGTTTGTTGTTGGGATTCGATGTGTTTTGAATTTTGTTGAATACCCTGACGAGGTCACTGTAGAGCACACCTGCCATCCCTACAAATATTTTTTGAGTTTATTATTTATTTAAAAATAAACAAAAGGAATGGATGGAGAAAAACACGAAGATGAAACAAATCGAAAAATAATTCAAGATCCGCATGGTTGACCGTCATGCTGGTGATCATGATCATGATCATGGCTGTGATCCTTTTTCTTTTTCTCGACATGCCCTCGACAATGCCCCGTTTCGCAATCGGAATCCGTATCAGAGCTCGAATCCTGCCAGGTTTTCGGCTTCTTATAAATGCAACAGCATTTACTCTTCTTCTTTCCCATTCCTTCGTTGTCAACCGTTTCTGTGCTCCAAACGACATGTCGTCGTTCGCTGGTGCTTGGTTCTGTTTGAAGTCGTATAACGAATTGTTCTTCCGGTTGCTCTGTACATGTTTCAGTAGTGGTGACGGTTTCGGTTTTTTCGGTGAGTTGAAGACTCATGCTGAAAGGACCATGTTGAAACAAATTTGTAAAATTTAGGAGATATCATAAAATATATAGATTTCAAATAAACAATTTAAATTTTTCAATTAGAATCGAGTTGCAAGCAATTTTCTGGAAAAGTTGAAACTCGTGCTCAGAAAAAAAAAACAAAATGGCAAATCCGATAATGCGCTAATATATAAATTCACTGACGCAATTGCCTTCCACATAATACAAATGCGTCAATTTGGTATGCTTTGCGTCTTTTACGATATTTGAATTTGTGGTTCAGTTTTACTCAAGAAGGTCTTTTAAAAATAATGAAAAAATAATAATTTGCTTTAATACTGTTGGTTAATTGTAATATTTCAGCATGTCGAAGAATTTTCCAGCCGCTCTAGATTATTTGGGAAAAGAAGCAGAAGAATTCTGCCCAGCGCATAATTTATATTTGAAACCACTTGCTATTATTAAAATAACTGTTTCACTGCCAAAAGTAAGTTGGAAAGCCGAAATGAAGTTTACCAAAAAAGTTTTATTAGATGACAATTCCGGGTCAATCAATATCAAATTGGGATCTCATGGAAAAACTAAAGAAAGCTGTCGACCCAATTCAAATGGATTCTATTAAAGTTCGAGAGAGCAATGTCGACAGTGTCATATTTGAAGCAGAGCTACTATCAATTGGAATCATGAAAAAGGTAGTAGAAGGTATTTATGGATACTAAAAAATAAATTTAAGGCAATGTCAATATTGGACACTTTTGCCATGAAAGTCTCGGGATTCGCAGAACCACTTCGTGTAAAAACTAAAGAAGCCAAGCAAGATTTTCCAAGTCGTCATGATTGGGATCTTTGGTTCATGAAAAATAAGGTGTTTAAATTGCGACTCCGAAGAATAATAAACCAAAGTATTTTATAGATGGACGAGACCAAACCAGGAGAGCGTCCGGATACAATATATCTTGCAAAAGTACCCGTTAAATGGTTTAATGTATGCAAACTTCAATTTCTCTTTAATTGCAATTTCAATATTCAGGAAGGAAAAGGCGATCTCCCTTCAGAAAAAATGCTAAAGGAGGCATTTGAGGTATTTGGACCAATTCGGACAGTAGATATACCAATTTGTGATCCGTTGAGACTTGAAATGTCTTCAAAAATTTCGGGAATTCAACAAAAAGGTTTTGGTTTAGGGCAGGTAATGGTTTATTCTGAGAAACTTTCATTAAAATCAAAAATTCAGGATATTTTCTTTGAGGCATATGTACAATTTATGGAATATAAGGGTTTTGCCACAGCGATGGATTCGTTGCGGAACAGAAAATGGGCGAAAAGGATCGACGGACGATTTTTCCAAGCTCACGTAAAGGTTTGAACATTTTCAAAAAGCAGTTTGAGCAATTAGAAAAAAAAATGGAGAAAAATACTTAAAATTGAACATTTAAAAGCAATGTGTGCTCACAAAAATTTTGCATATTTCTTCGCGTCGTTGCCGTTTGAAACAATGTGCCACTGCAGGTAATTATTTCGCATTTGTTGACACATTTTTGTATTCTCTTAAGGTGGATTTCGATAAAACGCGTCATTTGAGTCAAGCATCGATCGATAAACGATTCGAAGCAAAAAGAAAAATTGAAAACGAGCGCATCAAAAAAGAAAATGAAGAAAAGAAAAAGAAGTAACCCACAATGTAAATACAGTGAATGCGGATGTTTGAAATTAAGGCTGGAAGAAGAAATGCGACGCAAGAAAGAACAAGAAGAGAAAGATCGTAGAAGAGAAGAACGGGAAAAACGTCGCCGTGAAAAGGTTTTTACTCAAATGATAAATGCTCGAGAGTGAATGATAAACATGTTTAGAGAGAACTTGAACGTTTACAAGAAGAGGAGCGAAGGAAAAAAGAAAAGTTTAAAAAGGAAACTGAGCAGAGGGCGTTGGCCTCTCGAAAATCCGAGGCGTTAAGGCTTCTGAAACATATTTTTTCGAATATTGAGGTAATTAAAAAAAATAGCGATTTAAATTTCAAAATTAAAATAACATGTGTTGTATAAAGGCTAAAGAAGAGCGAAGAAAGCGAAAAGAGGAAGAAAAACTGAAAGAGGAACTAAAACAAATCGAAAATCTTGAAGATCAGCCGGTCGAGAAGGAAGAAGCCTTGAGACATGCACTATTGGTTCAGAGAGAACTTCGAATGAGGGAAAGAGTATGTTTGAACATTTGGAATTTGAAATTGACAAGCATATTAAGCTGAAAGAGAAGTTGGAAGCCGCAGTGAAGGAAAATGAAAAACAGAAAAAGTCGAAATCGAAACATAAATCAAAAAGGAGAGATTCTTCTTCTGAAAGTGATTCATCATCGTTGACAGAATTCGGATGGAGTTCTGAAGAGGAACGAAGGCGAAAACGGAGAAGCTTAAGAAATTCGGTTCGATTTTTACTTTTAATTTTAATTAAATAATTGATTTTGCAGAGAAATGGCCAAAGACGACGTTATTCGGAAGAATCGCCAGCGAGAAATAATCGACGCAGAAGTCACAGTTCATCTGACTCCTATGATCATAAGCGGAGTCGAAAGTATCATCGACGTTGAAAATATTCAACATTTAATTCATGTATATTTTCTTTCATTTCTGTATCTCTACCTGAAACGGTTTTCTGTCAAAGGATTTATTTTGACCTCATATCGTTAATTTATAATTAAACTAGTTTTGTTTAAATACTTCCGTCTGTTTTTAAAAATAAATTAATAATAAAAACTGGTGAAAATTAGTTATTTTCCTATATGTTTTAATCATAGTGGTATATAATCAAACAAAAATTTGGTTTGAACAAAATAGAACAAAATAATTGAGATGAATTTACGGGATCGCCTTCAAAACGCTACCGAAAGAGCGGTTGCGTTAAGTATTCTCGAGGAAGTTCGACGACAGACGCATAATCGAAATGAACAAACTGTAGACGCGATATGGTCTTCGATTGATGTTCTCACCAAGGTTTTGACGTCGAAGGAGGTGAGAATTCTTGCGTTGATTCATTTTTATCTCATTTTGCAGATGTACACTAAAATCGATCCGATCATCGAAGAATGTGATCCAGTTTCTTCGATTATATTATTGACATCAGTTATTTCAAAAACGAGGAAGATTCCGTTCTCGAAAATTCGATATCTTGTGAATTGGGTTCAATTAATTATTGCGAAAAACGTTTCGAAGTTCATCGAATCTCAACTAGACGCGCCGGCCGATGATGGTATTCAATTGGAAATTTGAGATGAACTCATTTCATTCATTTGTTTTTAGATTTTCGTAAACAGAGCAATCAAGAATTTGCTGTTGCTTATTTATCATTGCCTGGAAAAATTTCGAATTATCGGGCAATCGCTTCGAGCTCGAAAGATCAGGAAATCATTGATAATTGTACGAAGGCTCTGGAGGTTTTTCTTTGGAAATTCGAAAATGCAAAAATTAAAAGTGATTTATTGTAGAACTCTCTCGTATCTGCGCTCGAAACTGCTTTGGAGTCAGCAATTGAAAAAATTGGATCCAGTTCATGTGTGAACCTTGAGTTGATTTCATTTTTTCTAACAAAAGGACGAAATTTACGAATCGAAGAAAAGAAATCAAATTTGCTATCAGTGATTTTCGAATGGATTTGTGAAAAACCGAAGGACAATTTGAAATGGGATCGAATTGCGCAACGAATGTTCACCGATGAGAGTTGCGGAGTTCGAGAATTTGAAGCACTGTCGACAAATATTGCTATACTGGCAAAGAATTGCGACCAACTAGAAGTTTGTCGCAAATCAATTATTCTTATGATTCAACATTTTCAGAGATGCTTTGGTGGTGCGATCAAAACCTCGGTGATTCTAAATCGGGTGATCACTGTGAAGGTGATATTCCAAAGAATTCTGCCATTTTGCTCGCTCGCTGCAATTTTAGATTATATTCACAGATTCCTCAAGGAGCCGGGAATTTTGAAAGTTTTGGAAGTACGTCATCCCATATCGAATAAAACAATTAAATATTTGTTAAGATGGCCATCCAAGTTTGGATAAATGCTTCGTTCATTCGAGCTGCGACAATCGAACAGTACCGACATACAACACGGGTTCTTCTCTACTGCTTTTACATATTGAAGTTAGTATTTTATCTTACCAATTTGAACTATAATGTTGCGTATTTGAGAAATGACCCATCAAGCAAAGTTGTCTGGGCAACCGTATTTGCCAAAATTAACGATGGTATTCATGAGAGAATTTCAAATTCTGGTAAGTGTGATCACTTTGGAATTTCAACAATTTTTTCAAACAGATTTGGAAATTCGACAAACGGGAATGTTTATTGGAGAAACGCTCTCCAGATTTGTGGATGTTGTTGACGAAAAGGTTCTCAATTTTGATTATAAGGATGACGAATGGCTAAATGAAATGAGGGGGTTTGATTTTTTTTCATTTAATTTTAAACAGGCAATTGTATTAATCCAGAATTATCGAAAAAGGATATGAACCGGAACCGAAGAAAACCGAAGACAACGTTACGAGCAATTTAACGCATGTGCAAGAAGTTCCATCGTATTTTAATCATCTACCAACTCCTCCTAGTTTGAGAGAAACTTCTGAAGCCGTTGATTCTGACGACGATGATGATTTTCCGGTTTATGAAATTCCCGAGGAGGAGAAACAGTTCCAAAAGGTAATCATTCCGGTTTTTTGTAATACCTGATCATTTTTGAAAATTTTCAGTTACGAATAAGCGATGAACCGTTGAAGAAAGCAGACCCTCCGAAATACATTGCAGATGCATTTGAGCAACTTCATGAGAAGGAGAGATACGAAGTTTTTGAAGCAGCACTGTCTGCATTGGAAGATATGATCAAAAGAAATGCTCTTGGTTTTCCCGAAATTGCTACTCGTTTGGCTGTTAGATTACTCTATCTTGACGACAAATTTTCAACTCCCAATTTTGAGGTTTTTTATTTTATTTTAAAAATTTATTTTCAATCAAATGTTGCAGGAAATCCGAAAGAACTGCATTGTCGCATGCATGGTTCAAAAACCTTCTGTTGTTCCCGATATGATCAATGTGATGCTTTCCGCTGATCCGACGGTCACTCACAGATTTCTCGTTTTGGAATGCATTCGAAATGCGGCGAAAGAGCTTTGCAAACCCAAGGAAATTGTTTTGAAAGCGAATAATACTGGCGGTATTAATGAAGAAGTAACATTTCGTTGGGTTAAACGTACAAAATATATTTTTTAAATTGAAGACTTCGAATTGGAGAAAAACTGTTGAAGAGCGAATCAAAGAAAAAACGCGTCGGCTGGGAATTGAAAGACCACGCGCGAAATTTGTTGAGAATCGATTGGGAAAGGCATGCAAATATGAAAAATAGAGAGAAAACAAAGCTTTTAGGTCGTGCATATGTTCTTCTTCCCACTTTTGATTCATTCGACTGGACAACACTTGCAGCTTCGGGTTTTGAATTTTTTAAAATCTTATTTAAAATCTATCTTAGGGAAAGGATAACATTCTACTTTCGCGTATCATTTTCACTGCTTGCGAAGTATTCAGCTATGCAGGATTGTGCCCAAAAACACCACAAATGGCTGTGTGAGCTTCGATTAATATAAGCTCGATTTGGTTAAATATTCATTTCAGGAATCTCATCGAATTTGTTGCGCCTTTGAGATATTTTGAAGAGACAAATGTTAGAATATCTGTTATGTTTGCACATTGTACAGTAATGGAGCTCGTACCGGAAGAAGTTGATTTATATTATAAATTCGAAAACTAAAATTTCAAATTTCAGATTCTTTTGACAATTTTCTCAACGGATGCGATCAATATCTGGTTCGACTGGGCTCGATCCTCATTTGAAAATCCCGAAACGAATGAGCATGAGAGAAAACTTGCCTCCTGTGTGATGAATGAAGTCATCAACAAAATTAAGCATGAGATTTAACACGTTTATTAAGATAAAACACTGAAAATACTCCGTGTATACCCGTTTGAGTCTCTAGAATACAATTACTAATCATGATAATAAATGTTTCGAATTGTTTAGAAACTTGGAGAATTGCCCTCGGCAGTTCTGGCACGATTTACATAAAGATCTATTAAATTTCGCTGAAAATTGTTTAAAAATGAGACTAAAGAATGTGTGATAAAAATTACCTGGCTCGGATTCAAATTTCGCAAATGTGGTTCGAGTCGTTGAGGACCAACACGATTCAACAATGATGCTAATCCAAATACGACACATTTACGAACTGATGAAGATGGGGAATCATAGGCCTGAAAATGGTTCATTAGAGGTACTTCTGTTAATAACACTTACTTTCACGAAGCAGGGCGACACTTCGTCAACAATGATCGCAAGCTCGTCGGCATCGATGTCTTGGAACATTCTCGTCAGCATTTTGAGAATGAGAATAGAACGAGTATCGTCGTTTTGCTCCAAAATTCTTTGCGATGTATTGATTATTCTTGGAAGCGGCAAATGACTCGCGAATGTTCGTAGGCAGTCTTCAGCGGCAATACCCATTGTCGAATCGTTTGAATTTGTGACCGCATCGAGCACTTTGCAGATGAGAATCTCTGTGGAATCGAAAAGTTTGGCTGCTTGTGCATTACACATTTTCATCAGAATTCGAAGGGCCATCTTCTTTTTCATTCCCAATGATCTATCAGCGAGCACCTGAATCACATTGATATCATCAAACTGTTGTATCGCTCCACTCGTACTTGATACACAGCGTGCAGAAGAACATCAAAGAATTGTGCCCAGAGCGTGAAAGAACCCTCGCACATCATTCCGTGCAGTTTCGACATCGCTTCGTTGACACTAGCAGCGTTTTCCATGTCTTGCATCGTTGTTAGCTGTGCTCGTATGAAAATCGATTGCTCAGCCAAATCTGATGCCAAATGTGCTGTCGAGACACGAGCCGGAGTTTCTGACGAGAAATATTCGGTATTTTGGTATGAGGGCCGAGGTACGGGAACTGGAGGAGGTGGTGTGGACTCATTGGTCGGTTCTGGTTCTGAAAATGAACTTGTTGGCATTCTAATATAACCCAAATTTCGTTCAGATTCCGATTCCTTCGTGATGTCCTTTTAAGATGAGATAATGTACTACGGCATGAAAATCTTATCCAATTTTGAAATCAATAAGCGTATATTTTCTAATAATTAACAAATCATATTGTCGGCGTCAAACGATTGAAGTGAGGAGGGACCTTCCTTTAAATTCGCGAAATCAGTGTAGATTTAAATTAATCGTTGACTGAATATTAAATGCGCGTACACTATAATACTTCTCACTGCCTCGAGACGCATTGGCACATAGCCAATTTCGTCCAATCGTTTGACTCCGACATTACCTCTAATATGGTCCTTTTGCTCGACAACTTGAGAAGTGTATGGTTCGTATCCACATTTGTTATTGTTGTTACTGAAATTCATTTTTGAAATTATCAAATTAATCGAATAAATAATTACCTCAATTCAACTTCTTGCTTGTTCTGGCCATTCAACTGCAAGATTCGTCGAGCCCAATCGCGACATTCCGGACTTAGATCGTTGAAAATCATTGTGAAATCGGCAGCATTTAGTGCGAACATCGCACAAATTAATCGTTCACACGCCTACACAAATTGACGAGTCTCGGTTAGAAGTATGTCGCGTTTTACCGTCATAAGCATCGGCCCATTCCTTGAGTCAAACATCCACTCGAACATTTTGCAAATTGCATTTCTTGTGTAAGGTGTATCGAGAACGATGTTTCTTTCGATGTAGCGATGATCATCCGGCCAAATATCTTCCATTAAAAAGCACAGATGCTCTAGAAGAGCTAATCGAGCCTTAAACGGACAAATTGGAAAGGAAATAAAGAAAACGCAACCTTTGGAATCAGGAGATTGACACGATCGCACATGTATTCGCAAACAGCTTTTAACTGATCGCTGGGATCAAACGATACGAGAAATGCTTTTTGCGTAGCTGCTAATGTCGCTCGAACATTCGGCAGAGTTTCAGAACCAAGTCGAGAAAACAGTTTCCCTAATGCGAGCTTCAACCATGTCTCAATGAGTTTTTGATGGTGAATCTTCACAAATGTTGCACATGTTTCGAGAACTGGCACGAGAAGCTAAATAAATCGAGATAAATTTTTAGATTTCAAATAAAAATACTACGGTATTTCCGCCTTCGGCCATTAATCTCAATAGGGTATCACCGATTCTTTTCGCTTCATAATCAGATATTTTTGTTTCTGACACAATTCCTGCCAAAATCTTGACCGCGTCTCGTTTCTCATTCGAAGATGACGACCCACACGCCTTTAAAACATGCTCAATCGATAACAGAGTGTTGCTCATCGGATCAATTGGATCTGTTGGCGGAGAAGATCGAAGGGGCTTGACATTCGAAAGTAGAAACTCGTCATCATCCCCGTTTTCAGAGTGCCGATTCTGAAGACAAATATATTTTAACTGACTTTTTTCATTAAGTTATACCATTTCTTCTCGAGCTTTATCCATAGCCATTTGAAGACTAGATGCTTGTTCTTGAGTAAGAGAAGCAACGAAAGATGAGCTTCCCAAATTGGATGCAACTCGCTGGATTGGTGTCTGAATTGTAGATGAGCATGGCGAAGAAGAGCTCGATTTGTTCGATGGAGGAGTCGGAGATGTGGCACGAGTGAATCCAGTCGACATAACTGGCGTTTTCGAACGCGGCGCTCCGTAGCCTGTCGATCTCACATTAGCTTCAAAATATACGTATTTTTGAATTTTTCCGATGCCTTAAAATATTACCATATGTTGTTGATGTGGATTTCGGAAGCCGTGTTCCAGCTCCTCCATTCGTTGTTGGCCGCGAATGGGTCGTGGATGGTTGCTTCGACAAAAGAGCAGCTTTTGCATCAAGTGCTGAAGCACTTCGCTGAGAAAGAAACTCTAAAATAACGAAATTTGAAAGTGATTATTCAGCATGTTCCTACTTTGGCTGATGTTCATTTGTTTATTGCTCTCTCGATCACTATTCAAACTTGATGACGATGACGCAGCACCTTCACGAAGCATTCTTTGCTTTGATGCATCAAGTTCCTAAAGTGAGATAAGTTTCTCGCCGTCCGGCAAATGATTCCACACACTTCAATGCGACAAATACTTACCATGAAAATTTGATCAGCAATCTCGGAGTGGCATTGCTCGAGTTTAGTGAACACTTTTCGTGCCGCTACCCGGGTTTCGCCATCCGCGTCGTTCAACAAATTCCGCACAATGCCTCCAATTTGACGCAAAATGGGTTGTTTTGCCTTAACAAAAACAATTTCTCGATGAGAAACCCCCCAGCAACGAGTACTTTTGAATCCCAATTCGTTAGAAGAACTCCAAGTAAAATTGCCAATTGCCGACGTTGTTCTTTCGCTTTTGACGAAACCATTTCGCTAATTATTGAAAATACTTGGCGAGATTGGATTTTCTACAAAAATAGTTCTATTTTTTATCATGGAATCAAATGATTTAATGATGAATATAAATTTATGCTAAAGAAATTGTGTAACTCAATTCCTTGTTTTCAGATAAATTTTAAATATTATGCTGATCTCTATCAATTTTTTGTTTCGCAGCTACTCTTTTTTTTATAAACCTTGAGTGTTCGAATAGACTACCTCAACAATGAAAAGTGTGAGCGTCGCTGCGCTTGTCGCCATGATTTTCGTGCTCACGGCAAGTTGTGAAATGGCCGCAGGCAGCACAGTTTCCGCAATATTGCGGACATCGTTTCCAAATGTTTCGAAAAGGAAGCAACAAGTCACCGCCGATTCTCGAACTACTTGCGATCGAAGGTCTCGAACCGAACATTCGAGAGCATCAGCCAAATCATTGATGCATGATACAAGTGTATGCCGATCAATATACTCATCGCTATTCAAAACGATTGATCGAATCAGTTTGAGTTGATTCGATCGCTTCGACCAATCCTCTTGTGGATTGTTTAGAACGGATTTGGCAAGTTCTAATTTGTCTCGAACATCTTGATTCGAGTAAATCGTCTGAAAATATTTCAGTTATTCTGAATAGCTTAAATATTATTACCGTCTTTGGGACAGCTGAAAACGCTTTTCTGAAATCGTCAGCATTCACAGCACAGACTGCTGACGGCGCACAGCTCGAGCTCCTATAGCGTGATAGCGACATCGACTGTCTGCCTATGGTGCCAGGACGCATCTCGCGCGAACGATTGGCGGTGGATGGTGATTGCGCTACCGTAACTGGGGTTTGAAGTGCTCTTGGCGGCGTTGAGAGCCGAGCTGGGTACGAGATTTTCGCTGGAGATCGCAATGATCGACGCATGAGAGTGTTTCGTTGAGGTTGCTGTGGTTCCATGACAATGGTGTGTTTCGGAGGAAGGTCTCCCCGAACCGCCAAAGTTGATTGGTAGCGTTGCATTAGCATTGCCATTCTGCAATCACATTATACATACACACATGCAGTAAAAATGGGAGACGAAAAACGGTGCGGTGGTAAGTTGAACGCCTATTGGAACGAGTGCGCCGTCGGCCTTGTGGCCTAATGGATAAGGCGTCTGACTTCTAATCAGAAGATTGCAGGTTCGAGCCCTGCCTGGGTCAAAAATTTTTTTGAGAGAAAATATTATTGGTTTCAATGACGTCACATCAGAGTCGACTGATCAGAGGCGAAATATTAAAATTCGCGAAATCAGTGTAGCTCTTATACGAATTTATAAATTTACGACTAAAAATTAAATGCGCATAGGCTAAAATGCAGAGTAAGCAGAAACGCGCATGCTTCTCTGATCCAATGGTTTTTTAAAATTTCATTCAGTCGTTTGAAGCCAACAATATACACGAAGGATTGAAATTAAAATTTCAATATAGAATGCGTACAACAAAGAGATTTGTCGCCGGAATAACCGAAATAGAGCGTAATTAATGCGGCCGGGTTGACCTACGTGACGCGCACTTATTCATTTATGCATATCCGTTTTCTCATATCAATTCGGTTTGAGTTCGTACAGCGTGTGGCCTTGACTTTGTCGAACCGAATAGATAATTTTGGATTAATCCTCACTTTTGTTCGTTCAAAATTCGCGTCTTCATAATTCGCTCGACAAGATGCATTCCACCGAAAACCATCAGATCGAGAAGTGTGTTTGAAGCGGCATCACGAACCTTCAAATATTTTCGAGTTTAAAATCATGCCCAAGTTTTTTTTTCGCTCTTCTTACTTCCGAATTTGGACTATTTGTCAGCTCGCAAATTTGACGTATAAGGTCAACGGTTTGCTGGATTACCAGCGCGAAACTGGTAGCGAGAAATTCGCGGAGAATTGTTAATGAGCCAACTTTGACAAGAAATTGTTTGTGATTGAAACCGGTTGTCGACATACATAAACGGTCAAGCACCATCTGAAAATTATTGGAAATTTGATGAAATTGGCAATTGTCGAACCACCGGCGACGAATTCTCCAAATATGCAAGTTGAAGAATCAGATTCAGGGCCAATTCTCGAACTGACGCTTTTGAGTCTCCCATTCTAAAAAACAAACAAACTGAAACTATAAGAAGCTAAAAACTAGATATTTGACACCATTTTTTCGGAAACTACGGGCAAATTTTAGTAAATATTTTTTAGTTGAGTTTTTTGCGTTAATTTACGTGCGGACATGTTTCGGGTTTGTTTGCAGCTGTTCAACTAATGAATAAACCAACAGATGTTCAAAACGTTGACTATGAATCCCTTTTATCCGATGATTTTTTTCAAGTTCTTTCATTTTTCCCCAACTTGCAAGGGTAACTTCTTAATTATACCAATTTTCGTTAATTTCTGTACCTTTCGATCAATACATTAAGTCGATCAAAATAGTAGGAGGCAAGAACCTCGGGCGACGTTTTCAACGCGGCGTGCAGAATTTCCAAACCGATCGTTGAAACCTGCAGGAAAGAAAAAAAAGAGACGGATCGAGCTAGTGCTTGTTACACAACATGTTCGTCACGCTTACCTTGAAGTTACTGCCGGAAAGCCACTGGCACATTACATCGAGGAAATCATTGACGAGTTTCGGATGCGGCGAGATTTTTCTGTGTGAGACTTCCGACTGAAAACCAACAAACTTTTGGACTAAATGCAATAAGAAATTCTGTTGTCAACATTTATAAATTGATAGGGAAATTCCATTGTAAAGAAATCGAAAAATAGAAAAAAACGGTTCTAAAAATTATCGACAAAATCATCGGGAGAATCAGGCGATACAATGGAAAATTTATGAGAAATAGTGGCAAAATATTGGGGCAAATTTTTTTTCAAATCGGTAAAACAGTAGCCGTATTTCGCCCGATCAGTTTACCGAGTTCGACTAATAATATTAAACATTGAAAGAGCCGAGAAACGATGAAAATCCAGTTTGTGCGTTTCGTTTTTAGCAGCGTATACAAAAAAATCACGGAAATACCGTAATTTAAGGTGCATTCTCTGCATTTGTGCGTCGGGTGTTTGTGCGGACCGTATCGAAATTCTAGTTTCATCCTTTTTTCCGGTACCGTTTTTTTGCAAAGGTATTATCCCATAAAGAAAATAAATGTTACGTGGATGGTATATCTTTGAAGTCAATATTTATGTCATAAATTTCATAGAGCAATTCGATTATAAAAAAAAATATAAACAAACACAACAGTCTTAAATATTTTTGGAATCCCTTTTTTCTCTCAATGTAAAGATTTCTTTAGAAATTTAGATATTTGTAAATTGTGGCTCGCATGCCAGTTAAACAACTACCGCAACGCTTTTTTATTTTTGCTTTTTTTTTCATGTTGCCGGCTCGGCGGGAAGATGAAAGGCATGTCTTTGGAATAAAATACATAAAATATTCAAAATTCAATGCACAAACCAGTATCACATTTCCTAATTTGAGTCTTTCGAGCGAATCAGCGGTGTTCCGTTGCAGCAGAATATGCAACCAGTTGGTTTCCATCGCCTTGTCGTTCAATTCATTCGGCGCATTTAAAGATTCTCTGTAAATCTGAGAATGAATCGATGAAATTGGTTGAACTGCTTGACACATGTGCACTCTTTATGAGAGCCGATTCGAATCGAACGCAGTCATTTTTTTTTGCGTCCTCTGCCCCTCTTCCTCTTTCGTTTTACTCAGTTTCACTCGAGAATGAAGGAGGAAATGGATAGATGGATGGACGGCAGGTGTGCGGTGTGCAAAAGTTCATGAACTTGGGCCGATTTGCAACGGAAATTGAAGATAAGAAAATGGGAATGACGAAACGAAGGGAATGGGCAACATTGGAATAAAAAGAACAACAAGAATAATAGACCAAAAAAACCGGTAAAGCGTAACGGTTGGAATAATTGGTTTGATGTGTGAATCGACACCCACCGATATCCGCCAATCAATCAATTAGGCGCGACGCAATTTTTTAATGCTGCACACCGCGATGCGCAGCACAGCACCGAACGAAGCAGTCGGCGGATAAGCTAAATGTCAAACAAATATAATACCGGTGAAGTGCACAAAAGAGAAATTGAAGGTGTTCGCGCGAGACTCAGACGCAAATTACATGAACGGGTTTGGCGGCGGCGGCGGCAGAAGACGACGACGACGGTTTTGCGGATGATTTCGAAGACGCGCGGCAGTGTCGTGAATAAATTGGGCATACGAAGGCCGCCGCGCCAGGCCTTCGTATGCAGCGTTTTTGCATAAAATGCGACGCACCGGCCTGGGAATGCTTCACATTGTGACTCATACGATTTGTTTGTTGACTTGAGGGTCTTTTGATTGCGCAAATGACATTAATATTGCATAAATCGCGCAAGGTTATGTCGAAGAAATTGCCCACCGAATTTCGTTTCTTTATGAATAATAGCAAACAACCTTTCAATACATATTCGCTCTTTTTTTTGGAAAATGTTTAATTCTTGCCGAGAAAAGCTTTCAGAAAGCTATAAAATTCTATTTTTTTTCTTTGCTTCAAATATTTTTAATAGCTTTTTTCGACTACTTTCCAGTAGATAAATCATTAGGAAAATTGCTCCTTCATTTTTGGGTCTGAAACATCTCATTTAAAAATGATACACACATTTGAGGATTTCGCAACTATTTCCAACCACAGAACCCATTAATAATTGATTTTAATGAATGAATAGGAATAATAGGTAGAATCAAAAAAAGAGGAGATAAATGAAATATTGTTTGGACTGTTGAAATCTAACTGGCAAAATTAAGAATCTTGGAAATAAGAATTTGGACTGTTGGAAAAATAAGAATGTTGGTTTGATTGCAAATGAATGAAAGAGAAAAAATTGTTTGATAAAATTAAAATGCAACGTTTTTATAACAATCAAATCTGAGCAACTGCTGATGCGTTCCGGTTGACTTAAACGATTTGAGAAAGAAAACGATGGAATTGTTGAATGCGTATTTCCCACATTGACATACACACAATTACCTATAATTAACATTAGCGAACACAAGGGAAAATGAGGGAATCGAATGGTTCGAACGAATGGAACTGTTGATGAGAACTATTGAATATGATGGGCATCGAACGGACGCGAAGTCGGCAAGCCGCTTTTATGGCAAATATTGATAAAAATCGAGGCGAGGCGTTTAAAATAACAATCGCAAAAAAATTTGAACAATTTTACGAGTGATGCTCTCAAAATCGTTTTTCATTTTTGCGTTATCTTTCAAATGTCGAGACGCGCCGTGTATGGGTGGTGTTTTTGTGCGAAAAAACGTACTTATCAATTTGTTCAAAATCATCAGCGATCGTAAAGCAAAAAAATACAATTGACACTTGAATCATTTGTTTTTTTAACAATGGAAGCACAATAAATTACATAGGATTTTCTTTTTTTTTTTGAAATTGCTGCTCCGGTTTCATGTGCACTTCGAAATTGCTCACACTATTAATACCGATATCATATTGTGAAATCACATGAAAATTATTATTCAACAGTGCTTTTGTTGGTCGTCACTTTTCATAGACTGACGCATGCACCTTTAACCTATTATTACTGTTTATTATTTATGAGTTGAGATTACATATTGTCGGCGTCAAATGATTGAAGGGAGGAGGGACCTTTAAATTAGCAAAATCAGTGTAGATTTAAATTAATCGTTGACTGAATATTAAATGCGCGTACACTATAATGCAATGTACGCAGTCTTGCGTACTACTCACTACACGCATTGGCACATAGCCAATCATTTTTTTTCGTCAAGTCCTTTGACTCCGAAAATAATGAATCATTATCTGTGTTTCTTCCTATTTCGGTTATCATCGCAAAAAATGAGAGCACCATGAGAATTGGACCAGACAATTTTTTGTGGAGCGAGAATCAGAATTTGAGCTTAAACAAAAATCGTGTACCGTACTAGGTATAACATGCGAATCAAACTCATCATAAATCTACACAGTTGGTTGAGAAAATATTCAAAAAAAAATTTAATTAATACAACAATGACGGGAATTCGTTGGCGGGGTAAAAATTGTTCATTATGCTTTGTGCGATTCATGGTTTAACAAACAAATAAAAAATAGTTGAATACTTACAAGGATGGTCTTTCTGCAGTCTGTCTTAAGTTTTTTAAAATTTTTGCATTCAGATTCTTTAGAAAATTTCCAATCGAATGAACTAGGTCCCTACCTAAAACTGTGAAGGTCCATATCTCGATAACCTGAAGTTTGTGCAACTAGTTGATTCGATTGGAAATTGTCTAAACAAACTGTATGCAAAAAATTAGAAATTTAAATGAAAACTGCAAAAAGACCTACTTTTGTTAGAAGTTGAACTACTGATTTTCTTCAGATGAACATTAAAATTTTTTTTTAACAATTTTAAATTTTTTAAAACAATTTTCGTATTTTAAAACAATAATTGAATAAAAATATACGAAGCGCGGTAAAATGTGTCATAAAGGGAATGAGAATCGGAAATAATGAAGCGCTTATCTGAAAAGAAGAAGAAGAAGAAGGGCGTGGCGTGCGTTTTCTACACATCATTGGACGAGCGTCGTCAAATTGAAATGAAACTTATGTAAATAAACTGAAAGTGAAATGAAGCAAGACAAAAAAGTATCGCTATTCCTCATCGAAAAATGCTACTTGACAAATTTTCCGTTCTTTTTTCGGAACGTTTTCTGATTCCGATGGATGATTTGAAAAGGTTGAGAAGCTCAAGATAAATCTAAAAAAATATCCAATCGACCACTTCTTTCATCTCTCATTTTTTTGCAAGCTTCGGCCGAAATAGCGTGTGGACTCGAGAGACGACAGACGGTTTTTTTTGTAGGCGTAAAAAGTTTGAAACACACACTGGTCGGAACACACTCTCTCATTACTGCTTGATATTTCCGACTCAGAGACTCAGACAATTACATTTTTACAATTTGAGCACGACCAGTCGAGCTCACACTGAGCAACAACTTTGTTGATATAATAATTGATCATATTTAAAGGGGGGGGGGTCGAATCAACAAATACCTACAGTACTCTTAAATATGACAAATATTGAATTATGAAAATAGAATGGAACACATAAAATGTTTGAAATTTGTGTTTTTTTTTTCTGTTTATTCAATGACAATTTTGAGAATATGCGAAAACGATTATTAAAAAGTTAGTTTTTGAAAGGAAACTCATGCATAAATTAGTAAAAAATTTAACAGTGAGACCAGTATGGAAAAAAAACGAAAGACGAACAAAAAAAATGGAAATGATGGCATTTGAGATGAATGGCAAATTGAATTGTTTCGAAATATACACACACAATTATAGTATCTAGACATAACGACTTCTATCGAACGTTCGCATGAATTCCGACAATCGTTGATTTGGGCCGATCTCGCCGGAATGCATCGACATCACTGGTGAGCCAAAGTCCTGAAAAAAAAAATGCACGCAAATTGGGTACTATTAAGATATCGATTTTTGCCAAAAACACTGAAAACTGAAAAAATCCCAGTCCAAAAAAATCCCCATAAAACAATTCCATGTTTCAAATCAGATATAACAGAAACAAAATAATGGACAAATCTTACCGCAGGCGGTCGATGAGTTGTCTGGAATATTATTTTATTCTTATATATATTTTAAAAGGAATATTTTAGAATTAATAGAAATCTGGAATATCTGAAAATATTCGGAAATCAAATCGAAATGACTGGGCAATATTCAGCTCTTTTTTGTTTAAAGAAAAGATTTACCTGTGATTCTGACATCGATGTTGGGTCCGAGCACGTCGTCGCTGTGTCCGAATCGGAGTGCCTTCTCGACATCACCGCTGAATCACCCAAATTTCCGATTGCTTCCAGATGTGCTTACCAATAACGATGACAGTCGCAATCGCTGCGATCGCGAGAAGCCAGAAGAAATGGTTGGCGATGAGAGAGCTCAACGCATTTCCGACACCTTCTCCTGAGTTGTTCGTCAGTCCAACTTTCGTCGAAAGAGCCGATGTCAGAGCTTCTGAGACATAGAGTGTATTAATTCAAGGTTTCGGACATTGAAAATTGATTACCGTCGACAGCGGAATTTTGATTTCTCAATAGTCGACGAGTCAACAGCAAATCAGATCGATTCGCGTTGTTTCCGCAATTTGGTGGCTGCAAAATAATAAGAATCGCGTATTAATTCGATGATCATCGATTACCGTGACACCCTCGCATCCATCACCATCTCTTGTACACAAACTCAATTTGCAAACGAATTTCAATGATTCGGCATTCTGAAATTGTTGTCGATTCGGCGAAACCCATCGTTTTGACCTACGTGAACACTGAATACGTGACTTGCGGCGTAAGCGGAGAGTGTCGAATCATCATAAGTGAGGTCGGAGAGCAACGCCAGATCGGAAGAACATCCGCTGGGATCAACGAACGCGAATTTGCGTTGGACATCATCGCTGGCGTAGCAACTGTGAATTTGAATTCCGTAAGCATTGGTTGTTTCTGGAAATGGTAATCGGATGGCGTTCACCGGTGCAAACAAACCATTCGATCCATCGCAATCCCATCGATGGTAGACGGTTTCTCCGACAACTGCCTTCGTCGCAATCGGACCATCTGGCTCATTCCTCCGAATTGAATATGTGCACGTTGGCGGAAGAGTCGACAGCGAAATCGTCTCAGCAATTGTGAGCTCACTAAAATGACAGCAATGAATTTGGTTCGGGTATGACGATCATACCTTCGAATCACGTCGAGATTCGTCGACACTTCAGAATCTTGCGGAACTCCAACGAAGCACTGCAAGAGATAAGCGCGATCTTCACCGGTGTTCAGCTGTTTGTCATGGAGGAGATGAAGCACAAGCGATGAGTTGAGACCGTTCGGTTGCTGCGATTTCAATTGAGTCACACCGCATTCCGAATTCGAAATGAACATGTGCACTTCTCCGTCAGCTGTCGCCGTCGACTTGCAGCGAGCATCATCCTGGTATCCCTTGACCACGGCGATTCCATGGAAGCCTTCTGGTGGTGTCACAGTTATTTTGAATCCATCCGAAACACATTCAAGCTTCACAATTCCGTCGTTCTCATGCGAGTTCGGATTGATAGACTTGGCGGGGAAAACGGGTTCAGAGGCAGATGAGCCGATATCATTCTTCTCCGCTTCGCGTGACGATGGTTCGACGCTCGTCTGCGATGATGTTGAGACATCAGCGATTCGTCGAGCCAACTTCCATGAGAGTTCGTGACTTGGATCAACATCGAGATCAAACTGATTACTCGCTTGATGGCCGGCCAACTCGCTGACATAGCTCTTATCAGCCTCGATTGTCGAGATGACAAGAACTGTAACATTGTTTTCTTTAGCAAGTCTTGTTGGTTTTTGAACACGATCTTCCGATTGTCCATCGGTCACAATAATCAACACGTTTTCAGCATCTGGACGATCTCCTCTTTTTTTGGTGAAGGCGAATTGCGACACTTTTGAGAGCGCCTTTCCGAGCTGCGATCCTCCAGCCATGTATTCCGTATCATCGATATCATCAATCAGTGTCTTCTTGCAATTGTGTTTCCTCAAAGAAAACTCCAGATATGGATCATCGTTGTATTGAACCAACGAAACCTAAACGATTCCCTTCATTTTTATATTTTAAATGCTCGAAACCTGCAAGCCATCGGAACCGAAGTTATTGAAATGCTTCACTGTATTCTTGATGAGCTCAATTGCTCGGTGGAATTTGACTTCGTTGAATGAATCCGATGAATCAAGCAGGAACAAAACATCAGTTCGATTGCGATCCCATGATTGATTCGGAGTCGGACATGGTCCTAAAAACATCATGCGAGTGTTTGGCTACTATTCACCGATATACCATTGGGACGAATTAGAGTCGGTTGGATTTCTTCAGACGACGATTTTGGTGTCGATTTCTGAAATTGGATTTCTCGACTCGTCCCGTTTTGTGAAAATAAGAAACATTTGAAGAATGTGCGCAAAAATTACCATGTGATCTACTTGTGCATTATTAGTGCTAACTGATGTCTCGGCATCGGAAGAGGTATGCAATGTGCTGATAGTTGAAAGAATATGCGTGGTACTTGTTTCGACAGGGATAGCAATAGTAGTGGTTGTGACAGCGTTAGCAGCGCTAGTTGTTGGAAGCTTAGAGACAAGTTGAGTTGAATCGATAGATTCTGTAGTGCTGATCGGATTTGTTGATGAGTCAGTGATTGTCTCGACTCTGCTAGAAGTAGTAGAGTCCAGATTTGTAGTAGCCCCAGTGACTGATGCTGTCGTTGATCGAGTCGTTGATTCAGTTGTGGATTCGATTGTTGGTTCCGTTGTCACCTTCGTCACTGACTTAGCGATAGATTCGGTTGTAGCTGATTCTGTTGTTGATTCAGATTTTTCAAATGGAATGGTTGATTCAAAATTAATTGTAGTTGACTCGTGGACAACCATAGTCAATGGTGTGCTGCTTGGGATTTCAGGAGTACTCGTTGAACTGCTCGGCTTATCGGTGACAGCTTTCGAAGCAGCAGTAGTTTTTTCTGGTGTGCTGCCCTCATAAGGACTGATCGTAACTGGCGAAATGCTGCTACTTTCAATGCTATCTGTTAGCAGTTTAAGTATTTTAGAAGTAACTGTGCTTCCAGTTGGGCCTAACGTCGTTCCAATCTCATCGGCATCTGAATAATCGTCGTCTTCATAATCCCCAATGACGACTGTTGGATGGAGATCGGTTATGTCAGTAACTAATCTAGGTGCAAATGATTCGGCAGTGGTGGTTTCAATAACCGGAATCTCATCAATATTCACCCCAGGCTTCATCATCTCAGCTCCAGCGAACGTATCCTGATGAGACTTGGTGACGACACGCGGTGCTGGTGTCGTCCAATTCGAAGAAGCATTTGTTGAAGACGGAAGAGTGCTCTTTGGCTCCTCACTTCCTTCTGAGACCCATTCAACGCTGTTTGTCGAAAATGGAACTTCTGTGACTTGGGTGTTAGGCGGAACTTCAATTGGTGAAGTGGTGATTATTGGATTTGTGAATGTGTACGTTGATTCGGTGTCGGCTGATTGCTGCAATTCGTGTTCGTGTGTTTCGAAGAAATTTGTTCAAGGAAATCAGTGAATTGTTTTTTTTTTCTGTTTAAACCTACCAGTGGCGGACTGAATGTGGATGGAGATGATTCCGGAAGCGATGGCTTCGTTGGAAGGTTTTGAATCAGAACCGGATTTGCTGTATAATCGAAATGCCGAGGATTGAAAAAAAAATAATCGAACTAACCAGTGGTGAGCGTTGGAGCTGATGCGCCACTCTTATCTTCTTCCGAATCCAAACTGATAGCTCCATGATGAGGATGCCCTGCAACCGGAGTGTAGTATGCTCTTGTGGTTGGCCGCGATTTCAGTGTTGTGACAATCTCAACATCTTCCTCCTCAGAATCTTCGATCTGCTGAGGAGGTTGCGTTGTCGGCTTGGTAGCCCATGTGAACTTTGTTGTTGTAGTGGGAGTCGTAGTAGTTGTCGTTGTAGGAGTTGTAGTAGTCGTCGTCGTCGTCGTCGTAGTAGTAGAAGTCGTCGTCGACGTTGGAGTGGTTGTGGTCTGAAACTAATAAATCAGCAAAATGTTCGATTTCAGAAGATAAACCTCCGTAACTCGGAATCCAGGAACCACATGAACATGCTCGTAACTTCTCGTAGTCATCAAACTATCAGTGTAATATGTTGTTGAAGTTGACGAAGGTCTTCTAGTGGTACTAGTAGGTCTGGTTGTCCAAACTCTGGTAGTAGAAGTAGTCGGACTCGTGATAACAATAGTAGTCTTCTTGGGTGGCTCTGTAATATCCTCCTCATACTCATAATCATCGGTCGACGTGGTGACATCATTAATATCTTGAGTAGTAGTCGGAGAACGAGATGTCGTAGTGGTAGTTCTTCGAGTTGTAGTTGTTGTCGGAGGTGGTGGTCGTCTCGTCGTCGTAGCAGTAGTAGTAGTTCTACGGGTTGTAAAAGTGGTTGGCCTCGGAGTTCTAGTCGTTGATGATGTCGTCGTTCTCGTGGTTGTTGTAGTACTAGAAGTTGTTCTTCTACTAGTGGTTGTCGTTGGAGTTGTTGGAGCAGTAGTAGTGGTTGTTGCTCTAGTAGTAGTCGCTGTTGGGAATGTGCGACTCGTCGTAGTTTCCGTTTGAGCTTTTTCGACTTCTTCAAATCCTTCTTCTGAAATCGGAAATAATAATAATAATCGAGAATCGTGGGTATACCAATGAGTTTCGACAGATCGTCCTCATTAATATCAGTGTTGTCGATTGTCTCTCCGAGGTTTCTTGCAAGCTCATCAACGAGCGCCTCTTCGAGCTCCTTTCTCATCCCATTGTCCAAACTCACCATACTTGCTCCTTTCATTCGATCCATTACCACCGGAATCGCCCGATTCAGTTCCATATTAACCGCTTTGTTCACGGTGTTCTCCAATTGCCGATTCGGAGTGCTGACTATCGCCTTCACCTCAACGATGTTCGCTGGTCCATTTTTCACCATATTCTAAACACAAGACAACAGCTGTTTTCGCATGCAACAATGGATTTTACGTCGGCTTCCCGAGGTTCAATAAATTCCAAAGTGTCACGATCGAAATCCTTTGTGATGATGATAGGATCTGCGTGCGAACCAGGACCTCTGCATGTTCAAACATTAGTAAGAATTGAACTACGCTGAAGTGTACCCATGAGACGTTCCAATTCCGAAGAGGCCATGGACTGGGGCTCTGAGCTCGGCATGTGACATACGATCCTTCGAATTGAGATACAGATGAATGATGATATTATTCACTGGATTGACCTAAAAGGACAAATGGTTTCATTGGAATATCTTGTAGGGAAATTCTCAAAAAGCACATTGCTCAACATCGCCGGTGAGACTTCAATCTGACCCATCCGTTGGTTTTTCAGAGAAGAAGTGGGAATTCGAATTTCATTTTTCGGCTGTAATTTTGCTCAATCTGTGCTAATCGACAACACAGGTGCAAAAGACAAACGAAATTGAGAACGAAACGATAGAATGTGCAGAAAGGAAACAACGAGTTCGGACGAAAGCGCGAAGCAACTCACTTGGAATCGCGGAATTTGACCGGGAGCTCCGGATCTTCCTCGCGGAATTTGAGCAGGAAGAGGTGCCGGAGGTATATTGCTGAATCTCTGCGGATGCTGTTGTTGCAGTTGCTGCATCTGCCAGTTCGACGGAACTTGAATGTTCCGATTGCGTTGGTCAAGGTTCAGCGAAGGCGGTCGGAATGCCGGAGGAACAAATCTAGGGAATCGTTTGATGATCTAGAACACTTGAGAAATTGAGAATACCCTTGACGTTGAACAGGAACCGCGTCGTACGTTGGCTGCTGACTATGGAAACTTCTCGGAGGGTTGAAGGTCGAAGGACGAGGAGGTGGCTGCAACATTTTGTTGGCTCATCATTATTGTAGGACCCTTTTACTTGGTATCCTCGTGCAAATTGATTTTGCTCTGCTCTCGGCGAAGGCGGCGGCCTGATATGAGGCGATCCGATCGGAATAGCATCATATGTCTGCGACACGACCAAACATGGTAGTAGTAGAATTGCGAGCACAATTCCCGCCTGCTTGCGCCTCTCCCTCATGCTTAACCTGCAAATATTTGAAAGGAAAAATGAATGAAAGGAAAAAAAATCGCTGAACACTGCAGAAGAGAAAAACTCGCTTGTTTTTGCAGTCGGGTGGTTCGTTTGGGGACAACCGAAAAAATCGTTGGAAGGGTGGAGAATGAGGCAAAAAGATATTGTTAAGTTCTATTTAGATATATGATGATGATGATGATGCCGAGGAAGAAGCAAACTGTGTAAAAATTCGATTGAAAACGAGCGCGGATTTCGAGAAAAATGCGATTAGCAAATAATCAGGTCTGAATTCGAAAAACGAGATCCGCGAAATTTTTGATGATGAGACAAAAATCGCGGCAAATGAATTGATAATTCTCAAATGGCATACTATTATATGAATATAAATATATATAGGGATTGACTCGATGAAGATGATTTCTAAAACAATGAGGTGCTTCGGGGGGCGGCTTAATGAGGCGCCAACCTCGTTCTCTCGGAATTCTTGACGCGAAATATTTGTGATATCGCGGAGTGCGCACTGATTAATTGGCTCATTATTTGGCGATAATTGCGACTCGAATATCGCCACCCAAAACTCTTAATTATACATTGTTTCGTTATGTCGAAAGCAAATCATTTGTCAAAATATCAAATGTGATCACCTCGATGCCGGTATTTCTCTCGGAATTTTCGACACCTCTCTGCTAGCGATTTTTTGATCGAATCGAAACGCTGACGTTCATTTTAGACCCATATTCGTTTGAATAATTCATTATGTATTTGAGATTTGTGCTGAGAGTTGCTCAATGCGAATCAACTTTTCAAAAATGGCTCGAAGTCGTTTTTAATGATTATTTATTTTTGTAAGATGTTGCCGAATTTTGAATTCGGAATTCTTTGAACATTTCTTATACTGAATTTCCTACTATTTTTTTTTTCATTTAAACAGAAATTCTTCATTTATATTTCTTCATTCTAGTTTTGAAGAAAAAAACTAATATTTTGGGACATTTTAAAATCGAAATTCATTCGTCGAAAAAAACAAATAATTCTATTGATCACGTCAAATCAAGCTAGCATTGTTACGAAATTCGTTAGCTTCATCCTTTCTTTATCTCTCCTCATATGTGAACATATCAAATCTTGTGTGATCTCGTCAGACGAATCAGACTCTCGCTAATTATGCGATACAAGAGAAAACGCTAATGAGAAATGGAAAATAGTAAAAAAATCGAAAGATTTGAATATGAGAGGTCGAAACTAAACAAAAATGAAGGATTCGCTGAAGGTCTATACAGTAATTAGGAACATCGGATTGTGTTCAGAAATTCGATTTGTTTGACCTCCAATATTCTTAAAATGAACATGCATGAAATGAGCGACTCCAAAAATGAGGGGATCGAATCGAAAGTGAGAAATTGATACAAAAATGGGCGGTTCGATGAAGATTCCAGATCAAAATGGGGTTAATAACAACCGTAAAATGTTGAAATTAATTTTTGGAATCCGGTCTCTGCTTACCGCAGACCATTTAAAGTGTTTATTGACTTATAATAAAGCGGCATAACGGAACGGAAAAGTGAAAAGATTGGGCGTATCGTCCGTCGGATCGGAGGTGGGGGGAAGGTGATAATTGGTAAGAAGGCATTTTGGTAGCCATCGGATGAATTCATTTGGAATTTTTACGCAATGGGGGGTACTCGCGGAATATCTCAGTTTGTGTGTGATTTCGTCACTCAATTAGCCAGAGGCTTTGCGGCCCGCGTCCGGCTAGTGAAACCATCATCGTTGAACATGCCGTGTTGGACGCGCGGGGGCAAAAACGATAAAAACTCGTTCTTATTTCATCACAAGCCTCGCGGTTTTTTTTGTTTTGTTCGGCGTTATCCGTTGGGCAATTATTGCAACTTTACGCCGCGGATTCCTGGACAATCGCCAACAATCACGGTTGGCAACACGCCGTCGTTGTCTTATTGTCGACGGCAGACCAAACAAGGAAACTATAATATATCACAAAGGGATATTATCGGCAAAAAATGCGTCATATTTAAAGGGGGGTTCGAAATATTCGCTGATTGAGCTTATCTGCAAGAAAATTTTTTCCAATAATTTTCGAAAAATAAAATTGAGAATATTTGGGCTCTAATAGACCTCAGCTTGGTAGCAGCTTTTATTCATTTTCCCCATTGCTGATTTCTCCAAAAATTATATTAAAAATATTCTCAATTTTCTGTCTTATATTATTTTTGCAGTTCAGTTTGATTCTTCCAAGTTTCTTATTCGAGAATTATCAGAATGGGTCTCTTCATGAACCTTTCATGACCTCCATTTCATTTTAGCTTAACATAAGCTTCCATTTCAATTTTTTTCATATAATTGAATAAATTATCTGTTTGGTTTCATATTCTGTCTTCAGTTGTTTCCCTTTTTTATTACGTCAACTGTTCGGTTGTCATACCCATAAGTCACCTCCCTCACCCCCAGTGATATTTCCTTCCACCCATAGTCACACCATAACCTTGATGAAGCCAAATATGAACATTAAACCCAAAGTACACAACTTAATAAACCGAATTACACAGAAAAAGTGTATGAAAAAAAATGAATCGACAACTAAAATGTGCGAGACATTCGTTTTACAAAAAAAAGAGAATCGGGAGAGTGGAATCGCTGAAAAAACTTGCCAGCACACTGACAACTATGATGGTAATTTATCAAACGAAAGTATGACGAACAACGGGCTTCTTGATACATTCGTTTTATCAAATCAAAAGAAATAATAGTAATCATAAAACAGTAGCAACCAATTTGTTTGTGTGGCAGGTTTCTTATATCAAGGTTAATCCACAGATTCGCAACCTTTGCAAGGTCAGCGCTTCTCCGAATTTGTACTTTTCGCTGCTGGGGAGAAAAGACGGTGGGAGGATTGAACGGCATTCCGAATAATTAATGGCCACTCATTCAACAGTAAATCAACGAAACGAAAATTCGAAGGCTAAGCTTTCGAATTGGCTTGTCATGAGACATTGGTATTCTCAAATTTGAAGGAAAGACGTTTGAGCAATTCAGGAAAACTCAAATATTCTCATTGAACTACTATGTTAATCCATTTATTTTTTTAAATAATATATTAAAAATGATCTTCTTAACACGTCGGAATATATACATATAATGAATGCATATTGTAAAGGAAAACCCATCATGTTCCATCACAAAAACTTAATCTAATACATCAGCTCCACCGGAAGCCGTGGGCGACCGGTAGCTGATGTAATCCTTATCAATCTGTTATTAAATTCTTTATTAAATCCTTTATTAAATTCTTTGATTGTAATGCACCATATATAAACCCCCATAACTATCAATCTTGGCCTCTTTCCTTCTTTCATGAGTCGCACATGTCGGCTCCGATTTTACCAACTCTCACCAACACGATCCACCTCCAAATTGTTCGAGATTTCCCCACTTTAATGAAGAAATAAAACAGTATTTTCTTCGAGCGTTATGTTATTTTCTAACGTCTATTAAAAGTGAGTGAGAAATAAAGAGAAGCACCGCCCTGCCACTATTCGGCAGGACGGCAGCTTTTTAACCCCTTTACTATATTTATACAAGTAGTATTGAGCTGTCTCACCTTTTATTTGCACTGTCCGAGCTCAGCCACTATTTCTTTTATTGCCATACTATTTATACTATATCTATTCCTCAATACTCGATAAATGGAATTATCTTCTGAGCGACGAGAGGAAATTCTGAAGCAATTGCATTTTATGCAACTCCAGCTGGTATATTATATTGAATTGATTGGCCAACAAAAAACTCGACAAAAAAATTCCCTAGGAAAGCTACAGTAACATTTGTTATGCTATAACGAGCAACACAATAAATGTTCGAAAAAAATTTGTTGAGCGCAATGGGAGTATTCGAGGACGACGGAATCTCGTCAAGAACACGGTGAGAACGATGACGCAGAAAATGGCAGTGGAGGTAAAATTGAAATCAAATGCAAACAAAGAATTGGGAGATATTTAGAGCACGTTCATTATTCCCGAAGAAGGAAAAGTCGTCGTGTACCTGACAACTTGCGGAATTCTCCGAAAAGCATTCGAAAAGTGCCGAATCGCGGTGATATTTCTCATGAATTTTGTGGCACATTTCGAATTTTGTAATTTCAGACAAATCTTCTAGAAGCTTTTCGAATAAAATTCGAAATTCGCGATTTGAATATTTCATCGGAATACGTCGACGAGCTTATTGAACGCCTTCAAATTCCACAGGTCGATTTTCTCTATACATATGTATTTTTCGAATTGATTGGGTTTTTCTAGAAAAGTCGAAATTTGGTTTTTGACTGTCTTCCTTCGATTTATATCAACGGATATTACTTTGGGGTTCGATTCAATTAAATTGAGAATGAAAAGAGAAAATTGAGGGTTTTGCAGAATGAGGCAACTCTCGAAGAACTCAATGATAAAAAATTGCTGACCAAAGTGCTTGAGAACTGCCAAGTAAGTGAATGAATCGGAAATTGACTTTTTGTTTCATTTCTCAACTTTCCCTCTTATTTTATTCCTTTCAATTGAACAAAAAGAATAACTTAAAAGAGACATTTCCAGAAATTGGGCTTGATTATTTTCAGCGAACATCGAGCACTTGTTCGGAGTGCGGAGGCCGCGGCTACGTCGTGTGCCGAATTTGTCATGGTAGTCGTCGCCATCATCATTCCACATCAAGTATCGTCTTCGGCCTCCAATTGCGTTGCTCATTCTGCGACGTGAACGGGATCACGAGATGCGCGTCGTGCTAGGACCAACTCACGCACTTTTCCCGGGCGCAAATCCATCAAAACCCATGCGAGGCGGCGGCGACAAATCGCCGAAATCAACAGTTGTTCGCCTCCTTCTTCCTTCATGTTTTCAACATTTTTTTGCCGACTGCCGTGTATTTGTTTTGGGATCCTCAAAAACAACACAGCAAAAAAATGAGTCCATTTGATTTATTGTTATATATCGGTTAGACGAAAAATATTTGACCTATGTTATTCTTTCGTGTTTCACATTGTAATAATTCCACAGAGCTTCTTGCTAGCTAGCTGCTTTGTTCATCTGCGATTCGTCAGCGTTTTTATAATGTCTGAGGATGAAGCTGAATTAAGGACATCATTTCACGCTAGTTGTATCCGTAACTTCTTTCACTTGAACTATATTTTAAAAGACTCCAAATCAAACCGATCATATTTCAAATTCGAGCTCTCGAAAAAGACCCCATCATATTTATCTGCTTTTTTTTGAATATTCTTACATAATTACTCAAATGGGAATTCATTTTTAGTGTTTGTTTTTTGTTTTCGCACTGGTGGTCTTCGATTCTCCACCATTCTGCAAGTTTGTTTATCGGCACCGAACCTCCCATCCAGATGGTTTTTTTTTTCTCGATTCTTTTTTTGGTCGACCGGTCCTATTCGATCACACCCCCCACAGACAACACTTCTTGGGTGGACCAAGTGCAAAGCCTGAACAAACATTGTTGTTCGGTGATTTTGTCATTCGAAATGCGGTGTTGGCCCACATTTTTTTAATCGCTTCTGCAAAGCTTTTTTTCTAAATGAAAATAGAAAAAAAACTAGCAATTTCCATTTTTTTAATTGCACTTTTGAATTCTCTTAAATCTCTAAATGAGATCTAAATATCTTCCATTAATTTTTTTCAGCAATGTTTTGAAACGCTCTCAAACGACTGGTCGAAATTCAAAAATTTTTACTTTTTTTGCTCATGCTCCTTTAAATATAGAAGTGTTGGAATGCATATTATTATTTTTTCTAAGAATCTACTTTTTTTAAAGTTCTTGTTATGAAAATTGAAGACCAAAAATGAATATTATTAGAGAAAGATGCTGATCATATATTGTTGGTGTCAAACGACTTGAGGATATTAAAAAAAATGATTGGCTATGTGCCATTGCGTCTCGAAGCAGCGAGAAGTACGCGAGACTGCGTACATTGCATTATAGTGTACGCGCATTTAATATTCAGTCAACGATTAACTTAAATCTACACTGATTTTTCCCGCATCACTGTTCAATTCCTTTAAAGGCGCAATCCCATCGAAAACCCGTGTTACGTCGATACTTTTCGATTTTCCTTGAGATAACCAATCTCTTCCAAAATCAACATTACTTGTCAATAGATTTGTTATTGTTTGACAAACCCGATTTTTTGCAAAAACATGAACTTTATGTGTTCTTATAACATGAATTTAGAACCGGAATTTCGATAAACGATTTCCATTTTTTGAATTGATTTTGTCTAATATGGCAAAAAAAACAATAGTTCAAAATTTGAAACTTCGGACCCACAGTTTTGGGACTTTTTTGGAACTTTTTGCATAGCGCACTCGATCGGGAATTTCCCGATCTGTTTGTGTGCAAAATTAGAACAAAATCGAAACCACAAAGAAAAAAGACCTCTCTTGTAAGATGAAATAATCGCATGACTTCTTCTGAGGAAAATTCCCTCTAGACACAATTGTTCGTAATAAATCATCTGTTTTGAAATATTTTCTATTATTATAAATCCACGAATTCATGTCCAAAAGTTGTCGTATTCTTCGCCATCGCTCGTCCATCATAACCCTCATCGATCATCATTTTTTTGCTTCCAAAAACCGTTCACTTTTTTAATTTTAAATATGATTGGTCTCTTGAGACGATCGAACGGACCTCACGTAAAAAAAAAGACGAAGAAAAAAAAATGTCGTATTTCAAAAATGCCTATTGTTTACGATTATCACATTTTTCAACCAAATCCCTCGTCGATAATTATTCTTTTTAAGACGCAGATGAGACATAAAGTTGACAATCGTCAACTTTATGTCATAAAGTTGACAATCGTCAAGAATAAAAAATCGAAACCTAAAAGCTAAAGCTAAAAAAAAAGATTTTAAAAATTATCAGATGAGAATTTTTTTTAATCGGAAAAAATATGGCAGTGAGCCGCAAATGTGCGAAAAATTCACACATGATTTGCAACCAGCGATTTTTTTTTAATCTACCGATTTCAATTAAAATAAGTTAATAAAATATACATATGATTATTGAAAAAGACGAGAACCTTGGGAAATTGTGTACCATCGTTTTTTTCGGATTCAAAATTCGATTTAAACAACGGGAATTCGCGTACCGTACTACGGATAATCCACTAATAAAACTGACCGTAAATCTACACTTGGTTCTCGATTTTTCCGATTTTGGTATTACATTCGCGCAGTCTAAATTCAAATTCAAATTACCGCCTCGAAAATGTGCGATGGTCCACAATTATGCAAATTTGCGATGGTAATATTTTTTAAAATTGTTTTTCAATTGTCAATGATTTTTTAAATTCGACGCAGTTCAAAAAACGTGCTTCCCGATGAAAATGTTTCCCAAATGGAAGATATATGTAATGAAAATCTGAAATTCTGACGCGAAACTTGGTAAGTGGCAAAATTAAAGAAATTTCATACAATTAGCTTGAACGTGAAACTAGAGTATACAAATGATGTTTGTGCGAAATCTGTTTGGTATGAATATATTTAGAATATCCATGTTAGGCGCCCACGCTTCTTATTCTCATTCCCTCTTCTTATGGTATTCCGTTTTCGTATTGTATCTGTGTGTGTTTTGATTCCCCCCTCACACTTCTGGATGCAAATCTCAATTATTATTATTTCGTAAGAAGCAACTAATAATTATGGTTCTCTTTTTTTATTTATTATTCAGTTGTCTTTTTTATATAATGTTTAGTTTTTTTTGTTTATACGTGCTTCAAATTCCTAACATGATTAATCGGCCCATCCAGGAAGGAAAACAAAAATTAGTATATCTGCTATTTAAGAGAAAAAATTCTACTTAGATTTAGGCTAAACAACTGTTTGCCCATTTTTTCTCTCTGATTTGTTTATCCGTTTTAATTAATTCAGTTTTTGCGCAAAACTGGCTGCAAGAATGTTATTACCAAAATGTTATTCTGCGTTCGGGGGGAATCGAACCCCCGTCGAATGCTTGGAAGGCATCCATGCTGACCATTACACCACGAACGCGTTGTGTGTCGCCACTTTATCACGAAATATCTATGTCGTTTTGAAGAGGTATTCAGCTTATCGCTCGATTAAATTCGATGCGGCGAAGATAAAAACAGAGTCTCATATTGCTATAAAAGGTGACGAGATGAATCGTGTTCGTGGTGCGATGATTCGATCCCCCAAAAAGCTTTATCCGCGAATGGACCACCATCCCGTATTTTTATTCACAATTTCATGTGAAATGTACTTATCTCGACAAGTTTCCGTCTCTTGAAAATAGATTTTCAGCGGAAATTTAGTGCAGTTGCATTGGTTGTTTACATCCCATTTTTCCGTCATGAAGAGCTATCAGCCACCCAGAGTTTTGTCTGAAAATTGCACTTTATTTGAGCAGAAAATGCAAAAATAAGTTGATGGCACATTTCGACTATAAATTCCCCAAATTAAAGCGTTCTAAATTGTGTGTTTTTTTTTCAATTTTTTATCAAAAAAAAAAAATAACAAAATCAGTGTGTTTGCATTGATTAAAATAAGAGAGAAGAAGTACGAGAAATTTCGAACAGTCGTGGGAAAATGACAAAATTATTTGCATTACACTGATGTTTCCCGCAAAATACCAATGCTTCGGCTCTATTTTCTGCAATTATTATGACATTTATAAAGCGACGTGGAAAAAAATGAAGAAAATCGCTGTTGTAAGTGGGTTTGGATAAGGCTGGTGCAAAGACGCGACGCACAATTGCGGAGAATGCGTCTTTAGCTACAGTATCCGCGTTTTTTCTACTATTATCGGCATCAAATGTCTGAAACAAAATAGTTGGATGTTGCGCGGAATAAAATTAACAGAAATAGTAAAGAAAGAAGCAAACCAATTAGAATTCTTCAAAACAATTAATTTGTTCTATTTTTTATAACAAAATGCTTTGCCTTTTTTTAAATTCCAAAATCCTAATTTTCTGCTCAATTTTTTCCCAGTAATTTCCCCTCTCAATTTACACAAAATCGTGTTGTTTTGAACTCTGAAATAATGAATTCAGGACGCGCAAACATTTGAGCTGTTTCTTGTAACCAAATTCGTCATTTCGTTTTCAAGGTTTCAAGAAAAAAAAACACACAGAAGCAGAACAAGACATTCGAACCACTTCAAATTTCATATGGGTTTCGTCTCCCACTGATTTTCTCCTTTGTTGTGTTCCTTTATCGGAATGCCTCCATCCGAACATAAATAATTAATTTCGAATGCAATCTCCCCCCCCCCCAACAAAATTTCGGAATCGCGACGCCGACACCCAAAAATTCGCATTCGTTGCGAACCGATCTCATCGTTCCAGATTTGATTCTCGTCGGACTTTTGTGTCGTATTCGCTCGATGCCATTTTTTTTTGCGATGCCAATGTTAGAGGGGGAAATCTTATACCTGGCGACGACGAAATCCGATAATAATTCTGCATGAATTATTCGCAGCTTCTGCGCATGCACAAACATAACAGAATGCCGGCACGCCGAGAAAATTGGTCTGAAACTCGAGTGATTCGTGCGCATTCTCAAAACAATTCACTGTTTCCCTTTTTTTTTCGTTCCTTTTAAACCCAAATAATAATTTTTAGTTATTCTTTTGCTAATATGTACAAAAAATAGAAATCAATCAACTGGAAATGCTTTTATTGTTGTCTTTATGAATAAACTGTAACAACTAATATCTGATTTTTGAATTTTCGATTAAAAAAAAAACTTATTTATATAATTA